TTGAGTGCAGAAGCATTTCGTGTGGCATATGTATTCGATGGATTCATAATAGTTTTGAGACGAGAAATCGGCGCTCTTTGGGATAAAGCAGTACGATACTGAATGGAAAATTAATATTCTTTCTCGAAATGAGATGATACTCTTGAAACGACAAGGAGAGTCTGAAATAAGGAGATGATGTTATTTCTTTCCTTCGAACTAAATGTCGTTGAAAGCGAGCGACGGTCGAAGCTTTTAGGATTTTTAGTCATTTTCTCATCTCCTGACGCAAAAAAGAAACGATTTCTTGAGCCAAAAAATTCTCACTTCGTCCTGGAGTGTTCATGTTCAAGTCATCAATACTTCACGGCATTCTTCGTCCCAAGCGATTCGTTCTCAAGAGATGATATATTTGGCTCAAGAAATTAGTTTTGTGATATCAGGTCGTTTTCTCCCTCAGTGTGATATTCCCCATACAGAGAATGAGAAATACAATGTCAATTTAATTAATGCATACATCACGAACTTGCATCGTGATTTGTCCCTTGAATTGCCCTTCGCCGTGGCTTCTTGAATAAACAATAAATGAAGAAATAAATATTAAAAAACAGATCATTGGAGCAACTTACGAATTTCGTGGGGGCTGAGGATTGGACGAATGTGGCTGCTGGTGTTCTGGGATTCGGGATGGATGATTTAGGCCGAAGGGTCGCTGACGCTTGTTTAACAGAATTGAAGACGGATTTCCGAGGCGATATGTGGTCGTACAATGGACCAGGCGTTATTACAAGAGTTCTCAAAAAATTGTGTAACGCTGAAGATGTGAGTTGAAGGGATATGACTGTACAACTAATGAAATGACTACAGAAGATTAATGTATGACTAGAAAAGAGTCGAATTTTTTGGCAAATTCCGAATATAAATAAATTTATAACGAATTTGGGAAAAGTTTTTTAGGGTCGGAAATTCCTTGTTGTCGAGAAGAAGTCTTCATCAATTTTTTTCGACTTCTAGAAGATTTTCTCACAATTAAAAATTCGCAATCAAGTTCAGACTTCAAAAAATTTAAATAATAAAATCATTGCAAAATTGCTTGAATCAAAGCTCTGATGTTCACTGTTTCACTTGATAAAATGGGACGAACTACCTCAATCTGAATAGAACCTTTAAAACGTTTTTTAAATATTTTCTCTACTCACAGATTCGCTATATGACGAAAGCAAGCTGCCATGGATTCACCGTGTACCCGCCATCAGCATTTTACCCAATTTTCTATCCCCAATGGGACTTATATTTTACCGAGGAATCGAAAGCCTCGACAATGCGTGAAATCCAGGAATCATTTGCAATTCATACTTGGAACAAACTCAGTAGCGAAAAAGCCATTCCAGCCGGTAGCCAAGTGCCTTACACCATCGTAGCTAATAAATTTTGTCCAAATATTTATAAACATTCTGGAAAATTTTTTTAAGCTGAGCGTCGTCTTCCATCCAGAATTATTCGTACCACGAAAATATTCCAAATATAATTATCATATCGCGTTTGCAAACTAATAATTAATTCTAATGATATTATTTATTCTGAAAATAACAACGAATGAAGCCCTCACCCAGGAATTTATAATAAGTAACAAAAATTCTCACGTACTGAGTTGAAAAATAATTTTTAAGATTAGGGGGAAAACTTCAAGGTCTCAAACTCGAAATTTTAAGTGATAAGATGGCGGATGGGAAGAGTCATACGTAGATAGAGATATACCTTACAATTTAACTGAACGGCGATTCGTCATCTTTATGTCATACTCGAGTCAATAAATATTTTCTGCAGGGTCGTAACACAGCGCTTATAATCTACAGATAATGTGCTCAGTTCTCCCAAACTGATTCCGGCAATTTCAGAATTAGTTTTAAAATGTACAGGTGTCAAAAATGTTGCGATCAGGAGAAGTGATTGAACGATAATAAATGGACTTGCTGTGATTTTTTTATGGAACTGAAATTAATCTGAATTCCACTTTTGAAGAGTTAATTTCCTCTGCATGTTGTATTATTTTCTGTAAAGGATTGACATTGTGAACTCTTTCCCATTTCCATTTATTAGAAAAAATTCCCAGTGTTCTGCCCTGAAATAATGTAGTAATATTGAGTAACAATTTAGTGAAGAAAGTGAAGATGTTTTACTGAACACAATTTCTACAGAATTATCCCATTTAGGTAACTATGAGTTATTCAAGTAAAGCAATGACTCTATATACTTTTGTTTAGTGTTGCCTCATTATGGGGAGATTTATCTCGTATCTAAAAGATCCCAGGGATTTATCCGGACACTGTTGGAAATTTTTGGAAGCTTCGTGAAAGATATTATAGTAAATCTCATGAGAGTGACATTGAATCGAATTTAAGAAAAAAATGGTTATGAAATTTCCACATTTCAAGTACAATTCACGGAAATTCACGAGTTTAATGTGCGAGTGAGATGGAATTTTCACAACTTGGTTGAATTTTCAGTGAAACATGAATATTCATAAACAAAATTACCTGAATTTTCAATTTTCCCCGAATTTTCCTGATCTTCCTGAATTTTCACAGAATAATTGACCCGAAAAATCAAGAATTTTATCGACTTCCAGATCATGTGAACAGAAAATCAGTGCAATAACCGGAATAAATAAAATAATGGAATTCTTTAACACAATAAAAACTTCGGGACTTTGGCACGAAAAAATTATACGAAAATTTTTAACGATTGCGAATGAATTGAAATTCAGCGCAATTTACTACCGCACATTCGTGTTTTAATTGAGTTGAAGAATTCTCGTCCTCCTGCTGCTCAAACATGTCTAACTCCCTTGAATTTCCACCGAAATGTGAAATTTCGCAATCCTCCCTGCCCCAACCGAATTCAGTGTTGTTCTCTCAAACCTGAATACCAAACATAACACAAAATTTCAATTTTCTCGAACACTGAACTATCACGTCCCACTGAAAAGAAAAACACAAGTGTTTTTTGGTATAGAGACACAGACCCACCGCTAAGATAAAGGAAAAATTTACATTTTTCCACACGTACTTATCACAAGTAACGCTACGAAACGGTCTGTTGACCGAGACAGATAAACTAGATAAACTCGAGCAGATATTTGAGGTGTATTACCCGTACCTGGCCCTCAAGCCAATACTAAATAGATATTGTTTCCGGCGATGGGAATGTCTACTCCAACGTGTATTCGATGTTACGTAATTTTTCAAGGGGCTATATCACCACGAGATAACGAAAATGCCCAGTGTAGTGTACGATGTCCTCAGAGATAGTGGACTCGATCCCAGATAGAAGCATTAGATTTTTGACTGCACGAATCACTCTTCCGTTCAGGTAGGATCAGCGAAACGCGCCGATTGGAAGGGATTGACAGTTGGGCAATTACCGGAGGGACAATGGGTTGTCCGATGAAAAGCACAGTGACAATGATGGTCAGGCCAATGATGCGAAGGGATATTGCGCTGGGATTTTGTTTGGGTGTGCTGCTCTACATTGTTTATTTCGTTGTTAACAATAATTCGACATGGAAGGAGAGCCTGTATTTTCCTGAACAACACACGAGTGATGAAGCTTCCCACATTAGAAGAAATGAGCCGGGCTTCATAGAACCACTTCTGTCGACAGGTATTTTCGCCTCCGCATGGAGGCTTGCAATCCCTCAAATTTAGGTTTCGGATTTTTTGCGATACATCAATCTATTATGATCCGAAAATTCCAAATGCGCCGTTGTTGTTCATATGTATAGGTGGGACAAACTTTATCTCCACTTGCTCGCTGATAAACCGATGGGATTGAATATTTTTTTTAGAGTAGGTATTGTCCATCGACATTAATTAAAATTTCAACTGTATTTTATATTTTTGAATTTTTGATTTTTTTTAAATCTGTTGTCCCAGTGTAACTAAAAAGAAATGTTCGGAATTCCTTGAATGATGGCTTTAAAAAATTCTTGGGATGTCTCTGTAATCGTTGTTTTGATTTTTAGAATAATTTCCAAAAAATTTGTATTTTATAAATATAAATATGAATGTCGATTTCAATGAAAAAAATCGACCGCAGTAAGACGGGTGATTAAACAGTCTGGCGACTTGAAAAATGTCGAATGAAGAGTTTTACATGATTAAAATGCGTCATTGGCATCAATCCTTCGCCTACGAAATGTTTTCTAGACGTGAATGAGGCACCTGAGGAAGGCAAAGGTATATTTTTCCTCGAGACCTCCCCTTTCCGGGAAGAGGGTGTCTCCTTAACAGCGAGGCAGGCTTGTGCAGTGGAATCAGCCGCCAGGATGAACCCAACAATGCAAGTTTACTTTTTGCTGCTCAATCAATCGAAAATCTCGGCGAAAGCACAAGACTTTGTGAACATATTGTTGAGCTACGAGAACATCAAGATCAGACAGATTTTCATGAAAGATTATGTGAAGAACACACTTTTGGAGAAATGGTGGGATCCGAAGATTCTCAGCCACAGTGGTTGGCCGACGCATCACACGTCTGATATCCTTAGGTATCTTACCCTCGCGAAATTCGGGGGTATTTATCTCGACCTTGACGTCGTAGTCATGAAGTACGTATTTTTCATTCATTTCTCCTTTCATTCATATTTCTATTCAATTTCTTTTGCAATATAAATCGCGGGGGAAATTGAGTGCAGAAGCATTTCGTGTGGCATATGTATTCGATGGATTCATAATAGTTTTGAGACGAGAAATCGGCGCTCTTTGGGATAAAGCAGTACGATACTGAATGGAAAATTAATATTCTTTCTCGAAATGAGATGATACTCTTGAAACGACAAGGAGAGTCTGAAATAAGGAGATGATGTTATTTCTTTCCTTCGAACTAAATGTCGTTGAAAGCGAGCGACGGTCGAAGCTTTTAGGATTTTTAGTCATTTTCTCATCTCCTGACGCAAAAAAGAAACGATTTCTTGAGCCAAAAAATTCTCACTTCGTCCTGGAGTGTTCATGTTCAAGTCATCAATACTTCACGGCATTCTTCGTCCCAAGCGATTCGTTCTCAAGAGATGATATATTTGGCTCAAGAAATTAGTTTTGTGATATCAGGTCGTTTTCTCCCTCAGTGTGATATTCCCCATACAGAGAATGAGAAATACAATGTCAATTTAATTAATGCATACATCACGAACTTGCATCGTGATTTGTCCCTTGAATTGCCCTTCGCCGTGGTGTCTTGACTAAACAATAAATGAAGGAATAAATATTAAAAAACAGATCATTGGAGCATCTTACGAATTTCGTGGGGGCTGAGGATTGGATGAACGTGGCTTCTGGTGTTCTGGGATTCGGAATAGATGATTTAGGCCGAAGGGTCGCTGACGCTTGTTTAACAGAATTGAAGACGGATTTCCGAGGCGATATGTGGGCGTACAATGGACCAGGTGTTATTACGAGAACTCTCAAAAAATTGTGTGACACTGAACATGTGAGTTGGAGGGGTATAATAAATATGCGACGAATGCCATAATTGTAGAAGATTAATGTTTGACTAAAAAACACTCCAATTTGTTTTGCAAATTCTGGATACAAATTAATTCATAACGACTCCGGAAAAAAGATTCTAGGGCAGAAAGCTTATTGTTCATCAATTACATCATAAATATACCTCAAAAAAAGTTTTCACCAATGTTTTCCGACTTCAAATGTTTAAATAATAAAATCGTTGCAAAATGTCCGGTGGAAAATGGAGCTTTTATTTGGATAGAATATTTAAATCATTTTTTATGTTTTCTGTACTCGCAGATTCGTGATATGTCGAAAGAACGCTGCCATGGATTCACCGTCTACCCACCGTCAGCATTTTACCCAATTAGTTATCCAGATTGGAAATTATATTTTGAAGCGAAATCGAAAAACTCCACAATGCAGACAATCAAGGATTCATTTGCGATTCATACCTGGAACAAACTCAGCAGCGCAGGGGTCATTACAGTCGGCAGTGAAGTGCCCTACGCCCTCGTAGCTAATGAATTTTGTCCAAAGATTTATCGGCATTCTGGAAAATTTTTCTAAACTCAATGTTCATCTTCCGTCCAGTATTATTCACATCAAGGAGATAAATCCGCATCTTTTCGTTGTCCGAAACGACGAAATTCCAAACATAATGGTCACGCCACGTCAGTAAACTAATAATTAATTTCAACAATAGAATTCATTCTGAAAATAACAGCGAATAAAACTCTCGCCCATGATTTTATAATAAAAAAAATAAAAATTCTCCCGTACTGACTTGAAAAGTAATTTAAAAAACGAGAGGGAAAACTTCAAAGTCCCAAGTTCGAAATTTTGTCGAGTGATATGACGACACAAAGAAGGAGCCGAACGTAGATGGGAGCACACATTGTGTGAAACAATTCAAGTAAATGGCGATTCGTCATCTGTATCTCGTGCTCGAGTCAATATATATTTATTGCAGGGCCATAGGTCATAACTCAACGCTTTATAATCAACAAATGCTGCGCTCAGTCCTCCCACAACTCTCATTCAGACAATTACGTAATTTATTGTAAAATGTACTGGTGTCAAAATTGTGACGAACAGCGGAAGTGATTGAACGATATTAAATGGATTTTTGTGATAACATGGCTGGACTATTTTTATTCTGGAACTGGAGTTTATTTGAATTTCATTTCATTTTCGATTTTATTCTCACGATTGCAATTGCCATTGTTTTTGTTCCTGTTTTTTTAGTTAATTATGCGGGTGAATTTCCTCTGCACATTCTCAACTGTTATAACACGAGTGAAAGAATTTCATAGAAAAACCTGGAGAATTCGCTGGACAATTGTATTGAAATGTTCAATAAAAAATATTTTATAGAATTCGATTTTTTTGCACAACTTATTTTATTGAGATATAATTTTTTTAAATATCTTGTTGTATTGAAAAATCGAGTCCTATTTACTTTTTCTGTAGAATATTTTCTATTAAACATTTCAATAGAATCAGATAAAAATTAATGGCAAACTCAGTACAAATGCAATAGAATTTTCTCGCGAATTCTCTAATTTTTTCTATTAAATTTTTTCGCTCGTGGACATATGTCTCTGGGCCAATTTCACGGATTTATTTTCTTTGAAGCATTTAAATTACGAGAATGTCCCCAGATTCATCGTTTCCGTGAGGAATACATGCGTCATTGATAGATAACGATCGAACTGACAGCTATATCGAATTTATTTCCAGTTATTCAGTCGTTCCGACGATGTTGGATACGTTTTATCAAATGGAAGTGTCCGAACCACTTGATTGTGGAGAAAAACAGTGTCCAGAGTATTTTAGATAATGGAAAAAATCAAGTGAGGAATTTTGCATTTTTATTGAATTAAAGAAATCGTGTAAACGGCAGCAGCTGAATATTTTCGTGATGTAATGTCACCCTTTTTCGACTCACGGTTAATTTTTTTAGGGAATTTGCACACTGTTAGTGCAGGGGGGCAAGTTCCTGGGGGAAGGGGTGCGAAGTCGCCTGAATTATTTGGTGTCCAGGAAGCCCGCGTTGAGGTCGACGTTGACGAGCAAGTACGGTTTGTATGCCTGGCGGTATCGAGAGGACTTTTCCCTCGATAATCATTTGATCGACGCCCCCCCTTTCTTCCGAGGAAGACCAATCGCCGACGCAAATGTTCAGGTATTCAGAAAAAATTATGAATCCGTTCACGTTTGAATCAGCGGAATATAAACTACGACGACTTATTATTCATCGATTAATATTGAATTGTCACAATTTATTGAACTTATTAATTATCAGTTCAATGTTCAAGGCAATTTTGTTTGATTTTTTAATGAAAGGAGAAGAAAAATACAGTAGACAAAGTCAAAAAATTCATGTCGAGGAATTCTTACCCCAAAGGTCTCAATTGAAAAATTTGTACAGAAAGATAAAACTCTCCTGAATTTTTCGGGCAGTAAAGCTGAGGAATTCTTCAATAGAATTGGCTAAAACTAATAGAATTTTCTAATTAACCTCAAATAATAATCAAAAAAGAATAATCAAATAATAATTTAATCTCAAATTATTGATTAATCACCTGTCGATGGATTATATAATTACGATTTCTCTTGAATCAGGAATACGTGAGCGAAGTGACATCGAAATTTCTCCCCCTGAACCAGTCCCCCTGGCAAGTCCACATAATCAACTACTCATCGAAAGGGGAAGAGAGTGAAATCTACCTAGTTCGTGCTCACCACCTCCTCCTGAGGCAGGAGCACCTGACCCTCGCCGATTTCCTACCCCTCCAGTACTCCTCTGACAATTGGAGCTGCCAAGAGAGCGACTCCCCTTTCACGAATCTCTACGCGAAACCCTCGGCTCTGCCGAAACTCCATCAAAAGCTCACCGAGAGCTTCAGCAATAATTGGAATGAATTCCTGTGCAATAATGATCCCATGGAGCGGCCGGAAATTCTCAAGAAACATATTGGTTTATTTCAGTGTCTCAAGATTGGGGTGATTGTGCTGGTTGCTGCGTGCAAAATATCAAAACGGTAGATTTTCATTTCTTACATTCATCCATTCCTAAATTTGATATTTTAAAAATGCAATAAAAAACAGTGCAATAATTTTTTAATTTATTTCGTGTGAAAAAAAAATTGAGAAAATAATGCACTGCAAACATCTCAATTTTAGTTGGAATGTAAATAAATTTATTACGAATTTTGAAAAATTATTTGAGGAGGAAATTTTTAATTTTGCTTTTTACCGATTTTCAAAATGTTTATGTTAAAAAAAATTGAAGAATAATTTTAATGACCTCACAATTTATCTAAGAAATTCTATTAAATTCCTGTTTGAAAATTCAGTTTGATTTCTGCCACTGACTTTTCAATAGATATTTAATTCAAAAAAATCTACAGGTTGTATTATCCTTCATAATTTAAACCATTAATTATTCTCTTGACATGTTTTCAGTAGAAATTTTGCTCCATAAATATTTCTATATTTTTTAATCCTATTTCTTCTGTCTCGCCTCACAAAATCGAAGAACAAAAACCTGGAAAATTTCTGCTCGCGAATTGTCATAAAAACCCTCAATTTTCAACGTTCTTTGATTTTTTTTCTGTGAAATATGTAATTTCAAAAGAATTCCAATTTTAAAAGAATTCCAATTAACTAAAATTAAACTAGATAAAATGAAATTAAATTTGTCAGCGTCTCCGCGCAAGATTCACGATCACTCTCAAAATTTCAGGAGCACCGCAAAAACAATCATCTCCCGCACAGCGATATTCCACTCCGAAGCCCGAAAGCGAAATTTCAATCTCTCCACAATTCACCAGGCGCTCCTAAAATCCCTAGACCCAATCCAAAACGTCACGTCCATCATCCACTGGCTCTGGTACTTCGCGATAATCTCGACAATAAAGACCCCGATCCTGATATGCCGCGAGCTGCGAGCCCTGCATTCGCGCCAGAAGCACTACTACCCCGACACCCTGACGTCAGTTCTGTCCTGCTACCTCCCCCTGATATTCCAGTCCTTCGTGGAGATATGCCTGATCCTCAAGATCATCTCCGGTGCAGCCCGATCGATCCTGGACGAGCTGTTCTCCAAGGACGTGCAGTCCAACCAACTCCAGACCATTTCCCCTTGCGGAAGGAAAGTCATCGCATGGTCAGACCAAGTAGATACGGACACTCTCGACAGAATTGCCAGCGTCACTGGGGCGTCCCACACAGATGTCCTGCTGACTGCCATTGTCGACTCGTTGAAAGTTTATTTTCAACAGTCGGGGCAAGTTATTCCCCGACAGGTACTTGCAACTGCCAGATATGTTAGTCATAGATCTCTATTTATTAAAAATCACGAGGTTCAAGGCATTCTCTGTCTCTCACTTCCCACGAGGACGCCCCATTTTGAAAACGATCTCGTGGAGATTCTCGAGGTGAGTGGAATTCATTTCGAGAATTGACAGAAAAATTTAATTCACTGGCGAAGTGGTAAAACGCTTTTAGTCGACTCTCCCGGTTGAGTTTTTGAGGAATATTTCCAAATCTAAGGGAGACAGCGAAATTTTCGTAATGACATTTGTTGTAGCAATCGATCGGCTCTACAAAAAAGGTTATAACAAGAATTTTGCTGTCTCCCTTAGATTCCGAGATATTCATTGAAAACTGGTCGATAGTCAAAATTGACTTGCACCGTTTTACCACTTCGCTACTGAATTAATTGTCAATTAATTTTGATGATGAAAATTGATTAGGAATGATTATGAATATTCACTGTGCATTCTGTGTAGGTGATCAGGAAGAATGTGACTGAAGCGAGGACGAAACAGCGAGCGATATACGCGATTACAGCTAGAGAAAATTTTAGGCAAATGCTCATGTCATTTCTCCCTTCAGTTCTCATTAAAATTATTCTGAATCACCTCACGAGGAGATATTCTCTGTGCTTGACTCATGTTGATGGGGATTTGCGGATCGAAGGAGTTGGGACGGCTGTGTACTGGTCGCCACCCCAAGGAAATTGCAGTGAGCATTTTGAATTATAAATTTGAATAATATTAAGCTCACACTAATTTTATCGAAGTTATTGCGCCAAATCCTTCTCAATCATCGGAAAAATAGTTTCATAATGTGAAAGAGGAATCAAAATTTATCCCGAACATTAAAAGCACTAGATTTTTAGTAAATAAATTGACAAATAATTTTACTATTTTATTTTCAAATAATTTTTATTATTTTTTATTCGCTACAATAAATAGTTTGACTTTTCACAACTCCTAGACTGAATTCTCTTGCACTTTAACAGCAATTTCAATCCACCAACCGAAATTAATTGTTCGGAAATAAAAAAGAACAGGAACTAACAATTCAAATTTTCAATTTGAAAATGAATCCCTTCACTCCTGAAGAGAAAAAAAAATTAATCCCGTGCGTTATCACGATTAATTCTCCCAAATCCTCGGAAAAATCACGTCAACATTATTTTCCATCCGCCAGCAAAAGCATTCGATTTTTTTAGGATTAAAAAATACTGGGCTTTCAAAAAAGGGGATGGACGTCTTTAAAAAATCCTTCAATGCACTGAATAGTCTCTATTTCAGATTTATCGATAACTCTCCACCGCCACGGAACCGGCTTTCGTCTAGGCGTGATGGGAGACGCGCTGATAAGCCCCCAGCACACGACAATCACGAGAACCTTCCCCCACAGTGTCGAGAAATTAGCGAGAACCCTCGGTGTGCCTGCCCCATCGAGCAGAACCTCTAGTCCAGGTCCCCTGAGTCCCACCACATCGCCCGGTCATTGAGAGAACAAGTCATCGATTACTCACAATACGAGAGTTTTTCTTTATTGCCGACTATTACGTGTAATACAAATCCATTTACAATCGAAGCTGATTGTTAAAGTGGACCTAATTGAATATTCATTTGCTATACAGATTCGATAGTTTACAGTTTTCCAAAGAAAAGTTCTATTTATAACGTTGTAATAAAAATAATATACTGAAGGCATTCGAATGGCAGTAAATCAACAGTAATTCCCTCCCTCAATTCGTTCCAGTACGATCACTCATTCAATATTCGTATCGTCGAGGTAACGATACATTTCTATATTACTTTGGTATCACTAGAAGAAGAAGATCGAATCAACTTCCTCCATTAACAAGGAATACTTAAAAAATACGCGAAAAGGAAATGATAATTCATCAGTAGATGCTTTACTTGAAATGAACTGAAGTTATTTTACAGGAGTGAATAATTGAATACGAAGAATTCTTCGAGTAATAAATTCTTTCGAAATTTATTTTTCTGTCGTTTCGGTATTTTTGCAAGTGTTTAATTGTCAAAAGAATTTCTTTGTATTTTACTCATTTATCCCTGCAAAATTGTAGATGTCCACTGAATCAATGATTTCCTGACGAATTACTAAAACTGTTAAAACTCTTCGGTTAAACACGTATAAAAAATTCAATAGAAAATCTAGCGAATTCGCTAGAAAATTCTATTGGAATTCTATTGAAAAATTATGTTTGTTGTTTGCGCTGATTTTACTGGATATTCCATAAGAAAAAGTCAACAGATTTCGAATTTCTGTTTAAATTTTTCTCGTGAGATTTTTTCAATGAGAATCCTTAGGCATCAGAAAAAAACTTGGAAAATTTTGTGCCCAATAATTCTAATAGAAAAAATTTAAGAGAAAAATTCAAATAGAATTCCTATAGAATTCCAATAGAATTTTCTAGTTAGGTTTTCTATTGAATTTTTTCATGCGTGAAAACAATTCAACAATCAGATTGTTCCAAGGAAAATTCCACGTAAAATAGAGTATCCGATGGAATCAGCGCAAAAAACAAACAGAATTTTTCAATAGAATTCCAATAGAAATCCTATAGAATTCCACTAGAATTTTCTAGTCAGGTTTTCTATTGAATTTTTTCATGCGTGAAAACAATTCAACAATCAGATTGTTCCAAGGAAAATTCCACGTAAAATAGAGTATCCGATGGAATCAGCGCAAAAAACAAACAGAATTTTTCAATAGAATTCCAATAGAAATCTTATAGAATTCTACTAGAATTTTCTAGTCAGGTATTCTATTGAATTTTTTCATGCGTGAAAACAATTCAACAATCAGATTGTTCCAAGGAAAATTCCACGTAAAATAGAGTATCCGATGGAATCAGCGCAAAAAACAAACAGAATTTTTCAATAGAATTCCAATAGAAATCTTATAGAATTCTACTAGAATTTTCTAGTCAGGTTTTCTATTGAATTTTTTCATGCGTGAAAACAATTCAACAATCAGATTGTTCCAAGGAAAATTCCACGTAAAATAGAGTATCCGATGGAATCAGCGCAAAAAACACACAGAATTTTTCAATAGAATTCCAATAGAAATCTTATAGAATTCTACTAGAATTTTCTAGTCAGGTTTTCTATTGAATTTGCTGATTCTATTGACATGTTCAACAATCAGATTGTTCCAAGGAAAATTCCCCGCAAAATTGAATTTGGAACCTAAGCATCGCACTCCCTCTCGCCGATCCTATCCATCTCCATGGGGCCACTGCCCCACAATTTCCTGTTCTTCGTGCACGGTATCATCCCCATGAGGAGCCCCGACACGATGATCCAGCCACCGGCCAGGAGAAACGACAACTCCCAGGACTGCGTTATATCGAACATCAGGCCAGCCAGCGGCGGACCGATGAGATTGCCAATCCCCTGGCAGAGGAGGCTCAGGCCATAGGCAGTTGTGAATCTCTCGAGGGGGATCAGCTCCACGAGGATCACAGGCGTGAAGCTAAAATTGCTGGCGAAGAAGAGGCCGAAGAAGGCGGTTGTTATCATCAGTAAAGTGTAGTGGTGGGTGAATACTGACATCAGGATTGTCGCAATTCCACAGGCTATTAAGCAAAATGTGTACGTTTTGCTGACGTTCATCCAGGGCTGGTCACCCGCCCAGCCCAGACCAATCTGGGAAAATTAATGCATTGAAAGTCTCCATAAATTCCCAATAATTTTAGATTGAAAGGAGAATAACAATCACATGCACGGAAAAATTTCGCAGAAAAATGTAGCGAATTCGTTAGAAAATTCCAGGGATAGCCAAATTCGTTATATTTCATTACGGTTAAATATTGTAGCCGTCAATTAGTTAATATCACTCTTAAAGTTTTTGATTACTCAAGTGTCATCAATTCAAGTATTCAAATTTTTAACTATTTTATCAATCGATAATTCAGGTAGGAAGATTGACAATTATTTGTGTAATTGAAAATCCCTTTTTAAGAAATTTGAGTTATTCACTTAGTGATAAATTTACAGTTCCATATCAACAAATTTTAAATATTTAAATATTCGAAATTATTTGAAAAAATCAGATTATTTGTATTATATTATTTGAAAAATTAGATCGACATATTTTAAACCTTGATTAACGTAAGGGTTAAATTCTTGTGATATTACAGGAATTTAATGTTGATGGGAATCCCTCGAAAATTCTCTGCACAGAAAAAAAATTTACTTTAGTTTCTTGTATACTTTTTTTTCGTGTGAGATTTCAATTGAAGTTGAAGTTGCAGTTATTGAAATTTTTTGTTTTCTTTTTCTGGATGACAAGAAGAGAAAAATAGAATGAAAAAAACTTGGAAAATTTGAGCCGAAATGAAACGAAAAATTCACTAGATTTTTCAATTAAATTATTTCATGCGTGAATTCATCGAATTATTGTCTCCCTCCGCGAAGTAAGACTTCTTACCATTCCTATAGTATTCGTAATTCCAATAATACTAAGTAATCGAGCACCATCAGCCTCTGAGTATCCGTTTCTCGTGAGATGCTCAGCGAGATAAAAATAAGGCACGATGAACCACGTGAATAGAAGAATCGTTGATAACGAAAGGAGTAGGAAGTGCAGCTCCAAGAACATTGAAAAGTCCATCATGCCTTTCAGGAGATCCACCAGCTCGCTGTACCACTTCTGCAAGGGAAATCATTCAAGCAGGTGTTCATTGATGTAGTGCACGCACGAAAAAAATTAGTAGAAAAACCTACCGAAGTCGTTGGAAAATTCTATTGAATTTCTATTAAACTTTCTATTAGTTTTTGGCTGATTCTATTGACATGTTCAGTAGAAAACATTCAATAGAAAAAGTCAACTGAATTCGATTTTTCTATATAACTTATTCTTTTCATGGATTTTCTATAGAATTTGATCGACTCAAATTTTCGTAGTTTTTTTCGTTCTATTTTTCTTCTCTTCTCGTCAAGAAAATCAAACGAAAAAACTTGGAAAATTTGAGCCGGGGAAATTCTATAGAAAATATCTCAATAGAATAAGTTATATAGAAAAATTGAATTCTATTGACTTTTTCAACTGAATATTTTCTATTGAACATTTCCATGGAACCGGCCAAATAATAATGGAACAGTTCAATAGAAATTCAATAGAATTTTCCAACGAATTCGATAGGTTTTTCTATTAAATGTATTCGTCCGTGTGGTTTTTATTTATTCAATGTGAAGAGAAACGCGGACTTCCAATAAAAAATGTCTCAGTAGAAAAAAAATTCATTGATTTTTTTCTGTAAAATAAATTCTACTGGGCGTGTTCTATGAAAAATGCACAGTGAAGTTGCGCAAAAATTAACAGAATTTTCACGAAGTTCAATAAAAATCGAGTAGAAATTTCTGAAGAATCCCATAATTAACAATTGCTCCATTCGTTCATTCATTACTTCTTCATTTTCCTTCGCCAAAGTCGTCATGCTGTTTCTGTAGATATTCGGACAACTGCTGGCTCTCAATCTATACTTATGGAGATTCATCACAGCCCCACGATACATCAACGAATTCCTGTGTACTCTTATGTCCTTGAAGTAATGAGTATTAGTGTTAAACTGTCGTCTGAGCCAGGGGAGAGAGTCCGTTCTCACGACACCACCACCGAAACCGGGGAGATGATGCTTCGAACTGCTCTTCGTCTTCTCTGCCTCTGCTATCTGATAATTCCAGAAATTTATTCGTTCAATTTTATTTCTTCATCAGAGAAAAAAAATTAAAAAAAGAAGAATTGCACGATCACTTCTTGCTGTTTGTGGGAGCAATAACATTTTTGCTTTTTCATAATTTTTTTTTACATAAATTTAAAAGAGAGAGTTGATTTTTTTTTCAATTCCACGATCTTAATGATTTTAATGAACAACAAGAATTAATGAAAATTATTTCTGAAAATGTAAAATTTTTCCCCTAAACGGAGAAATATGAAATCATCATTGTTATTACAGCTTGTGCCAATTCCTTCGCCAAAAGTGGGTTAGCCACTTCCAAATCCTTCTTGGACATTCTCCTCTGCGCCAAGACCTTCGTAGAGGCGTGAGTGGAGCCCGGACGCGAGTCCTTCGTTGTCACCGGCTGCGGTGGGGACTTCTCAGTCGCTTGTTTAATCCTGAAAAAAAAAATCCCAATCAAACCCAAAGCCCACGGGAGAGAATTGTTATTCCCAACTACATGTGCATGGAATAACGCGTAAATAATAATATAAGTAAAAATAAAAGGGGTGCAGTGGATGCAGATATCAGACCAATTGTGTAACCTCATGGACATGGTCACGCCGGTCTTGTTGGCGTCTGTCGTCTGATCGTCGAGTTTTTTATCCGACAGACTTCTGCACAGCAGAAGACTCGGGTAATTCTCGAGGATGACGTTGTAGAGCCTCGAGTTACCCGAGAGAGACTCCAATACCTCTAGAGGTACCTATAACAGGCGCAGCATCACGTCATTTTTCATTCATTCATTCATTTCTTCAATTTATTGCACCCAGAGAAATGGAAATTTCACGGTTTCACGAAAGTCAGAGACTTATGTATTTATTTCAATGAGAATGTTTCTATTATGTATATAAATAAAATAAATGAAATAGTGAACAAATAATTGTTTTAATCAAAATGAAAAATTATTTGTTTTCAAGGATTTTTTAATTCAAATTATTTTCCATTGAAATAATTTCTGAAGTCAAATAATTTCTATGAAGTTGAAACTAGCGAAAGACTCGACAGCAGTCAAATCAAATAACCGATTTAATGTATAAAATAACAAATAACCGTTTTCAAGTATTTTTTGATTCAAATTATTTTCCACTGAAATAATTTCTAAATTCAAATAATTTCTATCAAAAAAAAAAAAAAAAATTCTATCAAGTTGAAACTAGCGAAAGATTCGACAGCAGTCAAGTCAAATAACCGATTTATCAGAGTCAAATAAAGTTTATTCAATTCAAATGAGCCATTCAAATAAACTTTACTAGATCAAATAACCGATTTTTCTGCGTGTACCAATGATCATTTGCCTCTCCTCCCCTCAGATATCCCCTAAAAAGCATTTTCCGCTGCCGAAGATTCCGCCAGTTCCAGCTTCCTACAACTTCTCTGGGCGTCGCGGCGCCCCCCCCCCCCAATCACCTTTTCGCTCTGTTTAACAAAAGTGGGAAGATTGACAACACTCCTGAAGCCCGTCCCCTGCGGCTGATTGCCGGCGGGCACTTCGGTGCTGGTCCTCAAGCTCTGCAGCAAGTACTCGGGCGCCTTCCCGCTCTTGAGCAGCCTCCTGAGCTCCTCCACCCCGGGGAACTCCTCCGTGCTGATAGCCGAGTAGGACCTCCCGCCCTCTGACCTAGCGAGGCTCTTCCTGGGCGTCCCCACCCCCTTCTCCCTGTTCTGCTCAATGAGCCACCACTCGGGATCCCTCATAACAGTTCCACAAACAATGAGATTGAAGAAAGTGCCCGCTAGCAACAAACAAGTGCCCCGCCACCCATACTCATCAATGAAGAAGGTCGTCATGGGCGCATAGACAAAAGTACCAATGCCCGAGCCGCAGGCGCCGAGGCCAACGGCCAGTGTGCGCTTCTTATCGAACCAATACGCAATACTGACGACCGCAGTTACATAGCACAGACCCAAACCCAATCCAGCAAGCAGCCCAAAAGTCAGATACATTACCTCAATGGAATTGGCCTGCCAGCTGAGGACAAAGCCGAGGCCTGAAATGAGCCCCCCGAGGATGGTCATCCTCCGGCAGCCGTATCTGTCCACCAGGGCGGACATTACCGGCCCCGACAGCAGCGGCACCGCCATGAAGAGCGAGCCGATCCAGGCGGTTTTCGCTTTCGACTCGCCGAAGGCGTTCAGGAACTCGATGTACAGCAGACCGAAGCTGAAGGACACGCCGTCGGCGATCATGGAGATGATCAGGGAGGCCAGGACCACCATCCAGCCCCATCCGCCGTCCGGTATCTTGGACTTCTCCGCCTTTCCCTTGGCGTTCAGCTCCTCCTGGAACATCACGTCCATCGTGCTCGAGTCTATCGAGTCCCGCTCGTGCCTGCCGGACAGGATGTGCTGCGGTCGCTCCACCGGGGGACTCGCCAGGGTCAACCACGACTCGTACTCGCTCTCGTTCTTGTCCGGCGGGAGGGACTCCATGCTCGTCGGGTCCAGGCTCAGGGCCAACGTCGAGTCCCGACCGATTCCCGAACTCTTGCTCGAGCCGTCGTCCTTTCGCTCCGGCGATGTCGGCGTCTTCCGCGGGCTGTCCTTCTTCGCGTATAGACCCTCCTTGCGCCCACGCGGCTTCTCGGGGGGGCTCGATCTGTTGTTGTTGTCGGCCGTCGCACTCTGGTTGTTGTTGTTGGAGGGCGAGGGGGGCAGCCGGCTCGCCTCCGCTCGCTTGGCGTCCGACAGCAGTATGTTATCATTTTTGTCCGACATCCCTGATCTAAATGTAACTTGTGCTGCTTGTGTGGATCCAACGGCGCGGCCAACCTTTTAACCCTTGGATATTGTTCAAGGTCACGGTGTGGATGTAAATCGGTTTACAAAGCATAGGTAATGAACTAGTTATCCAGTTTTGCCGGCGGCACTTTCGGTGATTCTTCACCCTCAGCATGCACACTCCTTTATGTTGCTTTTTGACCTGGGGACAGGTTTATTGGATTAGGGATTGCTCTTGGGTACTGTTTGTTGGGGTTAGTAATGGTGGGGGCTGGGGGGCTTGGGTTAATGAACAGTGATGAGAATGGGTGAAAAATCTTGTGGGGAGAGAAGTCTACTAGGCGAAATGCAGTTTTTTTCAAACGCCGATTTTTGGTAAATTCACACGGAAAAATAATCTTAGAAAAACAGCGAGATCAATGCATTATTTAGGAGAAATTTACAATGTTACTTATTAATAATCAGTGAATTTAAAATTTCCGTTGCAGTACTTATTTTTGTATCTCAATGAAGACTAACGAACGTCAGTTGTTTGTGCAGTTTATCGGAGAATATTTCTGAAGTAATAATTTAAAAAATGGAAACGATAAAACTTGGAAAAATCGTGGAATCATTTTCTATGAAAAAAGGAGTAAAACTGAAATTCTCCCGTAGAAATCGAACAGAATATTTTAATGAATCCTTTAGGTTTTTCTATGGAATTATTTCGTGTGGATTTATTTGAATCACGAATGAGGAAAAATTAAAATTCTAGTCATACAGTACATGAGAAAGCAACAACTTACCATTGAGGTGATATAAATGACTAGTGCTAGATAAATCATGCTTGATTGGGCATGGGAATGTGCATGCGTAAACTGGCGGTTCAATATTTCAAAAAATAAGGCGAAAGAATTTCATGCTGAAAAATAAAAGTACTGAAAATTAAAGTGCGGTGAGGTACAGTTATGAAGGTGATTCGTGTGTAAAGTGATTAGCGCTGAAGGATAATATCGACTAATTCTGAGCGTCAGAATCTTGGGAATCGCGTGACCACTCAGTGGGTCATGGATTAAGGATATCCGGGGGGTACAGACCCTGGGATAAAATTAGTTTTTGGAAAATTACATTGGAAACGAGAGAGAACTACCTTTAAATTCGAATTTTGATGGATTTTCCAGGATGATTTTGTATTTTGGAAAATGAGGCATTTGAGTCACAAATAACAAAATTTAACGGGGAAATCGAACGATTTCTCTGAGAAATTTTATTGAATTTCTGTTGGGATTCTATAAGAATTCACTGAGAATTCTATTAGAATTCTATTTTTAAAAATGATTCATTTTTTTTGTCATTTTGTATCAGAAAAAAGAGAAATTGAATTGAATTGAATTGAAATAGAATTGACTCGAAATTTTCTAAACTCTTGAGAGAACTACATTGAAATTTTTTTAATCTTAAATATTCTGAGATACAGTAAAGTCAAACTTACTGAGAAAGAGAAAACTATACTTCTCCAGAAATTCCGGATACTCATTAAATTTTTTATCTGACATCGTTGATGATAAAATGCCCAGGGACTTCACATTCTTATAATTAGATATCCATCACACGGACAAACGTGAAAGTGACATTAGGGATTCTCCGAGAGACTCGAACGTCTCACTAAACATCGCTTTCATAATTCTATAGAGTTCAATTCTATAAAATTCTATCAATCAATCGAAAAAATTGAAATTAAATTCATGGCTTCTCGTTGAACAATGAAATTTTCCATAAACCTTGTCCCTACACTGTCAGAAATATTTCGAAATTTGAACAACAATAACTACAATGCAACTAAAGACCAAACCGTTCATTAAATTCTCTACTCATCGAGAATTTTCAACAAAATCAACTAAAAACTAATAAAAAGCACACTAAAAATCCAATAGAATTTCCTAGCGAATTCGATTTTTCTACATAACTTTTCACTTCAGACATTTCCTACAGAATTCCCCCGGTTAACGATAAAAAAAGAATTCCCCGGCTCAAATTTTCCAAATTTTTTACTCTATTTTTCTTTTCTTCTCATCAAGAAAATCAAGCAAAAAACTTGAGCCTTGAAAATCTGAGCCGAAAACCATTGAACAAGTCATACAGAGAAATAAAATTCTCACTAATTTAAACTTAAATAGAGATCCACTAGAATTTTCTACCGAATTCGCCAGGTTTTTCCAAACTTCCAGAATTAATTTTCCAACAGTGTCCCTGGACTTCCCTTCCCACCCCCCCGATCCCACCCCCCCAACTCGATCTCAACTCAGCATCGATACAAAATTACTATTTCACAGTCATGATCATGAAAGGATCCCAATTCCCAAGTAGCCAGACATAATGCAAGAGTCAAGGAGAAGAGCGTCGGGTGGGTCAGGCAAGGGAGGGAGAAGGCGTCCTGCGCTTCGCCAGTCACCATGGATACCAGATCGATTTTTGACTACTCAATATGCCGGTAAAATCGCAGAGATTCACATCCCCCCGACCCCCATCGCCCCGAACCAAGAGGAAAAACACATCTATTTGATTTTCCCGTTATCTCCGCACACCAGATAATTTCACAAATATACTGAGCAAAAAGCGCGAGTAAATTAACGTCACAAGTACCATAAATCGATCTGAAAATCTCCCTCTTGCCGCACGAGCTAAAACTAAATTTCCGAGCCAAACGAAAAGGCCGAGACATTAAAAAAATGTTAGACTACGCTGAGCTTTTTGGATGCATAATTGAACATAAACAGGAAATAGTCACCTTTTCATAATTAAGTGTGTTTGTGTGCGTGTGCCACTACGAATTTGTTATGTTTTTTTTACTAAGAATTAACCACTGTGCAATTCAACTGAAAATACAAATACATTTAGTATCAAAGGTCGTGCAGAGTTTAATACTTATCGAGCGACTTTTCTATCTATAGTCTACGGAGGGGTTTGTAACGTCAAGGTTGTCCATCGAAACTTACTGCGAAAATGGGCGTTTAGTAATTAATAATCTTATTTATCGGACTATCTTCACAGAAATATCATCTCAAGCCATTCATTTATCCCGAATGATTATTCAACTCTCTGGACAGTTTAGGTCACTTATCGGTGGTATTTCAATTCACCCGATGAGTTCCGATCATCGGTATCAATGGATTCACCCCGGAAATTAGCGGTGCGATCGAAATGAATCTGCACAGGTGATCGAAATACACCTCAACTGTCATGCGGAGCACTCGATAAGCAGGAGCGATTTGGTGAGTCTACGGTACCGAATAGTGTACTGATATCCCTCACCAAATAAATCGTGATACACCTGAAAATGAAAATCCGGGGGGCGCATGTCCCTTCTGTTTGCGCTCTTGCGCACTCAAGTTGATTCACTCATACATGGGGGATTGCTTGAGGCTTGTCTGGGGTCACACGTCTGACTGATTTATTGTACTCGAGTAGATTATTATGTGACGCACGTTGTTACGTCTTCAGGTTTGTGTCTATTGACAAAAAAGTATGAAAAACACATTGGGGGGTTTATCTTTCGTTGAAATTCACGGCTTTGGGAGGGCGAGGATGTCTTCCCTTGCTGAAATCAAATTCTGCTGAATTTTTTACAGAAACATTCATCGGGTTATCGAAGCGGTTTTTATTCTGAAGACAGAATTGGGAGAATTTAATTCTTTTGTACAACGGATTCTATTGGGGTAGTGTTCGTGGAAATGGACGCACAAGGGGAAAAATTCACTATTCGTCAGGCGGTTTTTTCCCGATATTCACGGGTGAAAAAATTTGATAGAAAATCTAGCAAATCCGCGAGACAATTCTATTTCTCTTGAACTTTCTATTAGTTTTTGGCCGATTCTAGGGGAATGCTCAATAGAAAATATTCTACAGAAAATGTCATAAGAATTCAATTTTTCTGTATAATTTATTCTGTTGAGTAATTTTCTAGAAAATTGCATCGGCTCAAATTTTCAAGTTTTTCAAGTTTTTTAGTTGATTTTCTTGATGAGAAGAAAAAAATTGAATGGGGAAAAATGGAAAATTTGAGATGAGGAAATTATATAGAAAAATTGAATGCCATTGACTTTTTCTATTTGAAATTTTCCAATTTCATCAAGAGAAATAAAGAAAAAACAAGAAAAGGATAAAAAAAATATTTTTATCATTGGATTTACAAAAAAAATATGAACAAAATATCCTTCATCTGTTTTTTTGTTAATTTCGACAATAATCGGAGGATGTTTTGAATGGAGGTCAGGAAATAAATATTGTACTTCTTGGTATAATTTCCGTTATAATTTTTATTTTTATTTGATGAATGCTCTGAATATGTTGGATGTGCCTGATTTTTCTCAAGATTCAATTGTTCATGCTAAATATCTTACAGTATATGGATCGGGCCGATTTCTAGGAAATATATATTTTTTTCATGATGAGGGCACTGACTGGAGGATTACGAATGGAAAAAAACAGAACTCCTGGGAGAATGATCCTATGAGGACTTGTCAAAAAGAGGCTGATTAATCGATTTTAAACATTATTATCGTGTAAAAATTATGAATAAAAAATTCTCCGATTTTTTTAATCATAAAAAAATCATGAGATTTAATGAAATTCTTTTATGGAAAAATTCACAAAATTTTCAGCTAAAAAATTATTTCATTTAAGATCTGACAAATTGTTTTTTATATTTTATTTTCCTCATAGAATCATTTTCCGGTATTCCAATACAAATTTTTCCCACGTGATTACCTCAAAAATGACAAAATTCCGGTGAATACAATGTTGAAAGTGAATGGCAATCGAATGACTCCAAAATGATTAAAATTCCAATACTTCGGCCTCTACATTTGAGAATAATAGGAAAATCCGTCCCTCATAATCGCTAGGGCATGGAGAATATTGACGCAAATTTGAAAATTTGTAATTATCAATTCAGTAATAGAATCTTCGAACGATTCCTTGTAATAACTTCGTCCTTAATTACAAGTATTGAATAAACATAAAGTTTCCCGGCTAATACTAGACTCGTACGTTTTTGGTCACCGATTGAACAATATTTAATTTATTCAATGTTCTCAAACTCCTGATCTACCACTATAATTATCTCTTATAATAAAATATTACTCCCGATTCCATAAGACGCCAGTAAGGCCGCTGCAGATTTGCTAGTGAAGACCGTTGAAATTTTATCGAAAATAAGACACGTGTCAAAAAATTTAATAGAAAACCCTAGAGCGTTCTCCATGAAATTCGATTTTAAAATTCTATTTATTTACTGTACATTCGATGATTTTTTCTATTCGATTTTTTCTTGGGTATGACTTTTCAATTTTTATCTCGCATTTTATTATGAGAAACAAATAAAAAAATATCGAAAAAAATCAGTAAATTAATGGAAATTAATTGAAAAACTAATAGAATTATCAAATAGATTTTGAAGAAAAGTTAAGGATTTCTTACAGAAATTCAATAAAATTCCTGGGAGAAAGTGTCAAGTTTTCCTACTGAATTTTTTCACACGTGAGAATATGTACTTCTCAATCAGTTTTTCACATTCGATAAAATCAACTCAGTACATTACTGTAGACTCACGCTGTATTCATAAAACTCTATGGAATTTTTATTTATCTTTTATCATCACAGAAAGCTATTATATACAAATAAAACTGTATTGTTTCCTCTTCACGAATATTTTCCGTCAATTATTTACACTTTCAGCGCGTCTGTTGCACTATTACAAATAGTCGACAAACATTTTCAAACCGTTTAAAGAAATAGGAGCAAAAAGTTGAATGAAAAATTTTGGAATTTCAAAAAAATTCATCGAAGAACAAAAAAAGTGATAAAATCAGTATTTACATTTGCAATATCCACGATTATATTTAGTATTCCATGGCATATGGCGAAAAAGCGTCTTGTAGAGGAAAGAAAAGCTGAATTAACCCTCCGAGTCCCACGTGGGGTGCGGGAAACACCCTAGACATTTTTTCAAGATTTCTTCAGTACTTCAGCATTGATAAAAATGAAATTATTATTATTCTCTCAACCTTCAACTATCCAATTTCATTTTCTTTCTCTTTATTATGTTTATTTTCCATTGAAAACTTTTTCGAAAGCCAGATGAGTAACGAAGGGTTAACACCAGATATTTATCCTCCATTCATCACCCACGAGGAAATTTCATAAAAAAACTAGCGAATTCGATAGAAAATTGTACTGGATTTTACGGAAAATTCTACGAGTTTTTGGGCGATTCTATTGAAAAATTCCGCAGCTTTACGACTTTTTGTTATAGCAAATGTCCAATAGAAAGTATTTTATAGAAAAAAAATCAGTGGAAATTTATCTTGTATGAATTTTTCGGAGTTTTTCCACGCTATTTCATTGAAAGAAAAGAAAACAGAAAGAATCAAAGAAAAAAACTAAAAATTTGAGGAATTTCCACAGAAAATATCTCAATAAAATAAGTTAAATGAAAAAATCGACTTTTCCATGAAATTTTTCGTGCGTGTTATCTCCAATTTTCACCTTCGCCTGCACTCGTTCCATTCTAAATGTATCGTATGTGTTACTTCGAAATTTGGTTATAACTATTCACATACGTAATGCATTATCCTGAGATTCGAATGGGTCGGAGCCTTACCAAAAAATTACCCCAGACTTTATTCACCAATTTCTCCTCAACGTGTGCATCGATCACCTCAATATGTATTGTTTCATCGCTAATTCATACAGAGTCGTACAGATTATTCAATTACAGTAAAGGTCTAGCAATAAATTATCTCATTAAATTTATAATCAAATGGAAGTTTCATTCATTACGAGAAAAAAAATTCCCAGACATTATTATTTCGCTTTTGTACAAACGTCAGACAAAAATGACAATTGTTCCAATGTCTTTATTCCTTCGGTGCATGCAAGCACAACTGATAAATAAATAGCTGTTCGAATTAATCGATGAATAAATAGACAAATAGGGGGTCTGTTGACCGTAATTTTTGTTATTGTTCTGTACTGATTTATTTTAACTTAAACTAATTCATGGTTTCGCCAGTCGTTGAGATATTTATCTAGGGAATTCTTGCTCACACGCTGTTTATGTCAGCAGCGAGATCCTTCCTGGATAGATTGGCATTGGTTTTGCGGGAGTATTTTCTATACATCTCGATACATGGAACTACCATCAGGAGGATGCCACTGAGACCAATGAAAAATCCTGCTAGGTAGAACGATAGGTCATAGGTACCTGTTATGTCATACAGCCATCCTGAAAAATATAATCAATTGTGGAATATGAAAAACTTGTATCAAAACTTAACGATTTCTCTAATCTTTGGGAAAATTTTTTCAATTTTTACTTCTCTATTTTTAAATATTTCTTACGATAAATTATTCATTCATTAATTATAATGAATAATTAATAAATGAATGAATTTTATAAATAATGAGTGAATTTAGTAATTTATTTATTCATAATAAATTAATGAAATTGATCATTTATTAATTACAATGAATAAATGAAGACTTTTTCTATTGGGAAAAAAATCAATTCAAAAGTAGAAATAAAAATGATTTCTCTGAGAAATTGTCTTGAATAATTCTATTTTCATTTTTTCATATTAATTTTTGGGAAATTTTTTTCAATTGTTACTTCTCTATTTTTGAATATTTCTTACGATAAATTATTCATTCATTAATTATAATGAATAATTAATAAATGAATGAATTTGATAAATAATGAGTGAATTTAGTAATTTATTTATTCATAATAAATAAATGAAATTGATCATTTATTAATTACAATGAATAAATGAAGACTTTGTCTATTGGAAAAAAAATCAATTCAAAAGTAGAAATAAAAATGGAAAAAACATTGAGTATTCCATTCTTTCCAATTCTATTATTCATCGTTTCGTTACATTCAATTTTTAATTTTTCTTTTCGTACAGTTTCGTTTACCTTTCGTATCTTGTTCGTACGCAATTCAACTGGGAAATAATTAATGCATGATAACACGAATAATGAGCACACTTACCAGCCAATGGTGGCCCCATGAGATTGGCAATTCCCTGAACGAGCAGCAAAAGACCATAGGCATTTGTGAACCGCTCTAGCGTGATAACTTCAACAAGAATAATACTCGTAAGACTGTAATTTGCAGCAATGAAAATACCAAATGCACCAGAAACAGCGCACAGTGCGTAGTAATGTCTGACAACAAGTGGAATTATGCTTGTTACAGCACCGCAGAGTATCATGCATATGGCATAGACGATGGATGCATTCACCCAGACTTTATCTCCGGCCCATCCGAGAAATATCTGAGAACACAAATTTTTATTCTCAAAGGTGTTATTCTCCGCGGATGCAGGGGTACAACAGACAAAATGACGATAGTATCAAAATATAATCGTAAATAATTAAGTTGAGAGAAAATAATTTTGTTATGAAATACATGAAAACTTCTTGAAAATTTGTGAATAATTTTTTGCTTCCTGTCATGTTGATAAATTTCAATTTTTACAAAAAAAAGTCAGGAGACTTTCTCCAAAACAACTCATTAAGGATTGTTATTTATTAAATAAAAAAACACTAACATTCCCCGAACTTGGTGAATTCGCTGAAAAATTCTACTGGATTTCTATGGAAATTTCCATTACTTTTTGGCTGATTCTATTGAAAAAAAAATTTGCAACTTGTTTTTGATGAAATGTATTCTATAGAATTCAATAGAATTTGTTTGTAATATACAACTTATTCTATCAATTTTCTATTCAAATTAGGTTTTATCACCCGTTATTAACACATTCTTCAATTTTTCCCATTTTCAAATTCAATGTTTCATTTTTTTCATTCTATGTACGTCTTTTCAATCTTTAAAAAGAATTGATTTTCTACAAAAAATCCTCGACAAAAAAATTGGAAATTTTATTTCAAGAAATTGCTATAAAGGACACCTCACTAAAAAAATTATCTAGAACTAAAAACTCTCCCGACAGTTCCCACGATCCCTTTCAATTTTCGAATTCACCCCTTCGCTTAATCTCCTAGGGCCTCCTGACAAAAAATCCTATAATATAAATACCTCTCCAAGCATATTGGTGATTCCAATAACCGAGATGAGCATGGAGGCGTCAGTCTCGCTGAATCCCATCTCAATGGCATTATCAGTGAGATAAACATAAGGCACATCGTACCAAGTATGCAGCAAAAAATTGCTAATCGAGAAGAGAAGAAACCTGGAGTCCGCAAAGTGTGAGAAATCGAGCATATCAACGACAAGATCCCAAAACTCCCAGAGCCCCGAGTACCAAACAAGCTTAGTCTTAGCAATAGTGGTCATAGAGTTCCTGTAGATATCAGGACAACTGGACGCCCTCAGCCTGTACCTATTGATATTGAGCATAGCGCCCCGATAAGTCAAACTGTGTCTGTGCACCCGAATATTCCTCAGGTAAGCAGTTGGCAGTCTCCTGTGTGCCTCGAGAGTAGCTGATCTCCGTAATTGGCTGTCATCGGGCTGTAGTTTCTTGAGCCACCAGAGATAGACAGCAGCATCGTCATCAGTCTCCTTGAACTTGTCGCTGTTGGCCTTGATCTTCCTGTCCAAATTATTAATTTCCTCCCTGTCCTTGGGCTTCTGGCAGTTCTCATCGTCATTACAAACGACTGGCAGGGCCGCATTGCCGTCATTCAACGTCGCCGAGTCACTGAAGCTCCTGGACGACATCAAAAGACTGGGATAATTATGCAAAAGAACATTGTAAACATCCTTTCGAGTGGCCAAAAGCTCGAGCACTTCAATCGGCACCTGATCGCCATTCTTCAAAAACGTGGGCAGAGTAAGAAGGCTAGAAAAATTCTTGCCATGCTGGCCCTCGTGATCCTCGTGAGTCCTCCTCGAGTTCTCCAGCACAATGGCATTCGTCGAAGTCGCCGAGAAATTGGCGATGCCGTGGGGCGTCTGAGTAGTTGTATTCGCTGAAGAACTGGCTGAGAACGAGTCAGCACTGGAGCTCTGAATCCTACTAGTGCGCTTCCTCTCGCGATTGCGCTTCCTCTCCTGACACTTCGCCTTGGCCCTTATCGTCGTCCACTCGAGATCCCTCATGAGACAGCCGCAGACAGCAAGATTGAGGAAGAACCCCGCGAGGATGAGCGTCGTCCCCCGCCAGCCGTACTCAGCGAGAAGATACTGCGTCAGCGGTGCAAATATAAAAGTCCCAATTCCACTTCCGCACACCGACAAACCGGTGGCGAACGATCTTCTTTTATCGAAGTAGTAGGCAACAATGACAACAGCTGCCACGAAGCAGAGCGATAAGCCAAATCCAGCGATTACCCCGAATGTGAATATCAGAACAGCCATTGAACTTGTGTACGATGATATGACGAAGCCGAGGGTGGCCAGCACACTGCCAGCTATTGACACCCTTCTGCAGCCGTATCTGTCGGTGAGAAAGCTGGCGACAGGGCCCGACAGCAGCGGCATCGCCATGAACAAGGAGCCGATCCAGGCCGTCTTCGACTTGCCCTCGCCGAAGTAATTCAGGAATTCGACGTAGATAACGCCGAAGGAGAACGTTATCCCGTCGGCTATCAGATTGACCATGAACGACGCCGCGACGACGACCCACCCCCAGCCCCCGTCCGGCGGTCGAGCCTCTGAAAACTGTCCGAGACTCGAGTTGTCCTCCGACGATCCGCCCGCTGACGGTGAACTACTCGTTGATATCGAAGGACTCGGCTGCGCCCCCTCCTCGTCCTTCCGCTTTGATGAAGATCTTTTACCTCTCGAAGAGTTGAACTTCACGCGAAGGCACTTGTTGCCGTTGACCCCCAGTATCGAGCTCTCGTTGAGCTTCACACTCTCGTTATTCTCCAGCGACATCTTGCGGGTGTAGAGGCTGTCTGGGCGTTTCACTTTCTCCTTCGCCAGGGATTCCCGGGCTTCTCTCCGTATCGCACCGCCCGTCTCCTCGCTGGCGCCACGGCGGTACTTCAGGATACTGATCTCCTCGCTGGTTGCCTCATCCTCGTAGGCTAGATTTGTCTTCTCTTTGTTGTCTTCTAACATGATTGCATGCGCGAGCCTCGGGCCGTTTGAGACTGTCAAAAGTTGAGGGGCTTTTTTATCGTTATCATTGTCCTTGATTTTTACGGGGATATCTTGAGGCCGCGGGCTGACCCACTCAGCGTCCATTGCACACTCTCAATTTCGATTTTTCATGGTCTTTCGGCGGTCTTGGGAGGCCTAGGAGGGAGGGGAAATTTTTTCCCCGATTTTTGGGGGAGTCTGGGGTGATCGGCAACCGGTTTAAACACTCGCGCACAATTGTGAGTTTATTGCTTTCGTCCGTGATTTGTGTAACGGTTGCACCGGCCACTCGGACAGTTGCCGTGGGAATTGACGAGGTAATTGTAGGGTCGCGGAGATAGGGTACTTGAGTTGCTGGAAGACGAGTTTTGTTGATGGATTAACCTTGGTGCTAACATCAGGGGTGCTTAACGCGACAATACGCCGTCGCGTTTTGGGTCTCGTACGGGGGTGGAGCAGTATGCGTTCCTTAGTTCTTTTAGTGTTGTTATTGTTTGGGACCACCTTCACCACCTTCACCACCACTGAACTATCGTTGACCCAGGCACCCATGCGGTGAACGATACGGGCTCCACTGGACTTCTGGTATACTCTAGACAAACAAAGTTTATGGGTTATATAAGTGGGTTTTTAGGGTGGAGTGGTTGGTATGAATCATGTTATGTAATGATGTGAGCGGAATGTCATTGTGCTGGCGCAGAAAAAGTTGAACGTAAATTACAGGTGAAAAACGGTATTTGCGATTTCTGGCGCGTAAATTACGCGGGAATTTTTGTAAATTAGGATTATTGCAGATCCACTGTTTGTAATTTGTGAATTATTTAGGGTAATTTCTTTGAAAATTGTTTAGTTTTTGTACCATTTTTTTATGAATGAATAATTAAACTCTGAATGGTTTTTTTTTCGATATAAAAAAAATATTTCCGGGATTAAAAATTGATTAGTCATGAATTATTCAGGAAAAAAGGTCTAATCACCAAAAATTTCAATTATTGAATGAATCCATGAATCGTCATTGAAAAATATACCTCATAATGTTTTCGGATTATATTAAATTGTGGAAAAAGAATTAACAAATGGATAATTAACATCATTTTAATGATTGTCTATATAATAAAATAATTTTAATTCTGTATTATGATTTTGCCTCTCTCTCCTCTCGGAATGTCGTCAAAAATACCCAGAACTGAATTCCGCTCGACGATCACTCGCTTCATTAGGCAATTCTCCCCAACTTTTTCCTCCACATAAAAAAATATAAATGTGTGAAAAGGCACAAGTAATCTCAACTCAAGTCATCTCTCTGCCCGCCTATAGACATCATTATAAACGATGCTCATTGTGTATGAGTTGCCATCAATTTAAGAATTTAACTTGCTCTTACGTTATACACGTCACGTATATAATCCTCAACTACCTTTTCATTTTCAAATGTAAAACAAAAATACCAGTGCAACCATCTTCCGTGTGTAACGCATCCCACGTACAATTTCCCTCTTCACAAATCGATCTCCGAGTTTTCTACAATTGACACGAATGTAAATGCGCGATCGACTTCCAATTCAACCGCAAGTCAACTCCACCAATTCATCCCATGAACACAATCGACTACAATTCCCCCATGACCCAAAATAAACAGTAGCAAGTGCACTGTTGAAAATTTTTCTGAAATTTCCCGTACACTTTTTGGGAATTTTTATGGAATTTAATGACCACTGAAATTTGAAATTCAGCATTTCGTGGAAAAATCAAAGAGAACTGTAAATTTCAGTTTCATTTTTCCCGAAAATGAATAGAAAACCATAAAATTCCAGTAAATATATTCCTGAATTTTCAGGACAGTGACACTGAACGAAATTTAGTGGAAAAAAATCAGAGAATTTCAGATTTCACTAAAAAATTCACTGTAATTGGTCCCTAAATATTCACATCAAATTGTCAATTCAAATAAATTAAGGAATTTCTTCTAACAATGTAACTAAAAAAATTCCAACCAACTAACTTGTTTCCTTCCATTTTTCACCATCTTGATAATAATTTTGAACTACACTATTAAACTGTTAAGACATCACTCAACCACGGAATCGCGTGGCTGCCAGCAACTCCAATTGTTCGGTCTCTCCACTTCCCTCAATTCATTACAATTCACCACAAATAATCATCGAAATTAATCATTCCGCAGTTGTGTGCACCGCCGAACTCTCGAGTGCGATCAACTCCCCTGGGTTCACACGTTATCGTATCAAGCCCCGGCCCCTCCAAACGGAATAAAATGGAAAAAAATAATAACGCTGAGACAGTGTCAGAGGCGGCGATTAGATTCTCCGAATGCTAGCGCGTGTAGCGTTAAAAGTCGAACGGACTCTTGACCTTCGATCCTAGGCACTGTCAAATGCTGGTTTATTTCACGGTTCATCCACTAAAATTACTACAAAATCAAATTTCCAAAATTCTGGACGCAATTCAGTGATTGGAATTCCGTTAAATTCGCTCGATTTTACACGAGGCAAGACGAATCCAAGATCAATCGAGCTCCTCAGTCTTCGAGGGGTTGGTTTTGTTATTATTTTTACTGTGATTAGACTCCTCACAAGAGAATCGTTAGACTAGTACTGAGAATGGCACGTCACTGCTCAGCTTTGCCTTTAGCCTCTGATTGACGTGTTCTTCTTATCTTCTTCCTCTTCTACTCTCGAAGATGTGTACAACTTGGTACTCAACTTTTTCTCGGGCATTTCTTTTTTCGTTTCCTCATTCGAGCGACGAAAATGGGTATTTCGTTATCGCCAGCTCGTTGTGGAGCCGAGGAACCTCTATCTGTCCTGCGGGCCTCCGGTCTATTTGCACGCTCAGAGATAAGAGATTCTATTTCGTTTGGTTCAAGATTTTGTCGAAGATGGGGAGCCATGCTCTATTTGTAATATTCGTCGCACCGCTCTGTCCCTTGGGTGATTACATTTTCTATTAATAGTGGGGGGAATTATGGGGATCGGTCGATTCCTATTCAAAGAGCTGGTGGAGACAGTGATACGGTGATAATAGCGAGGGCTTTTGCTGGGAATTCTATTCATTTCCTGGTGTTCTCGTTTTGATTGTCGTGAATTTTCGAATTTTATTGGGGTTTTCAACGGTTTTTAAAGCCAGCGGAGCCATTTCGGTTGCAGTAAAGTTCATTTTGAAGGAAAATTTAATGCGCTCGCTAGAGAATTCTATTAACTTTCCAGTGGATTTTTCGATTTAACAGAACTGATGGGATTTTTTGTGGTAAAATTCTTGGACATGAATTTTGGATTAGGTTTTTCTCTCATTTTTTTATTTAATGGTGTGATTTTAATTGTGGAGGAAGGTAATTTTTTAAAGAACATTTAACGCATTCGCTTGGAAATTCTATTTACTTCTGTTGTATTTTTTAATATATTCTATTCTATTATAATTTTTTTCTATAGAAATTGTGGGACATGATTTTTTTACCTTTTTTCCTGGCTTTTGTATTTAGAAATGTTTAATATTCAGCGAAAAAGACTGGGAAAAATCATTTCTAATAATTTTACCATCAAAAGTTTCAGTAGAATACGTTTTTTTAAAAAATAAAAATCTATTGATTTCTCTCTACCGACTATTAGTCGAAAAATCCATCACAACAGCTGCAAAATTTTAAATAGATGAGTAAAAACTAATGAATACACGTGGAGTAATGCAATATGTTTATGAACTAAGATAAGAAAAATGAACGCGCAACGGCGATGAAATTAAAATTCTGTGCACAATTCTACTCAAGTCATCAATTTCAGATAAAAAAATATTGTACACCAGTTTTATTGCAACACAAATCAGCAAAGAAATAGAAGATCATAAACCGTCGGATATTCCATCGAGAGGACCATTCCTCATTGCATAATGGAAACATAAAAATATTCACAGCGATGTTACTTTCAGGAAAATGAGAAAAATGAGCTCTTAAAAGAATTCAATTTATCGTAAATATCTCGGCATGCGGAGGGGTTAGCAAATAAATATATTTTTCAACTTCTGTTTAAGAAATGAAGGCTTGGAAGAAAACTCCTGCAGAACTAACCAATTTTCTTATACAAATTAATCAGAGCAATTAATTAATTGAGTGAATTAGTTCAATGAATGACTACATGAATAATTAATTCAGTAATTAATTAATTGAGTGAATTAGTTCACTGAAACACCAGTGGCTGGTCACAAGCCTTCGCACGAAATAGAAAAACCTAATGAAATCTGTACAAAAAAATTAATAAAAATTTGATTTTTTAAGAATTTGATTTTTTGATTTTGAGAAAAATCAAACTCTATTAATTTTTTTCCACAGAATATTTTCCATTGAACATTTCTATTCACTGAAAACTACGAAACAAAACAATTTCTGAATCGGTCAAAAAAAATTGAAATATTTTTTTTTTAATTTAAGATTAAAATAACAGAAAGTAATAAGGAAGTTCTAATAAATTCAAATCAATAATAGAGCGTTCAATATAAATCCAACAGAATCCCACCGAATTCCCTACGTTTTCCTACAGAATTTTTTCGCTCGTGTTATTGTCTCCGTTTCCTCAATTAGAATAAAAAATCCTACTCGTGCTGCTCCTGCATATTTTAATACGAAACGATCCATCAACAACTGCCCCGCCGATACTGTCAAACGAGAATGAATGTCTTCCCTATTGTTAAAAGTGATTCATCTAAAATGATTCTCATCTATAAAATGCGATACCATCAATTTTTTTCGAGCCTAAAAAATTCCGAACAAGGGATAACTGTAAATCCCTCCGAGGTGTAAATCCCCTGTTAAAAAATAACGCCTCATAAATGTTGTATGAATGTAGCATGGATATCCGCAAAAAATAATGACTCGAATCGTGGAAAGACATCGCAATACTCATCACCGAATTATCAGAGATCGTGTGGATAAAATCCTCTTTCGTCATGATCGCAGATACCGTTCTATCAACGATTATTGTATAATAAATCGTGTGAGATCACATTCCCTAGACATGAATTATCAGTGAACGATTCTGATAATTCCGAAGACAGTCAATTGTGGAGGGAAAAATGAGGATTAGCGATGTAGTCGCGTTAAAACTAGTGATAGGGGTGATAAATCGAGATTAATACCAGTTACATGCTTACAAAACTGCTTCAACCCGGTCTTCTGCTCATGATTTTTCGAGGTAGTATCGATTGTGCACTGGGAATAGGCGGTTAATCGAATATGATGGGAGTTTATTTAGATGCAGCCTTGATTTCAATCTCAGTTTAGTATTTTCGACGGGAATGGCGAATGGAGGAATTTAATTGAGCAATAAATATTCGTTGACTCTCGGTAATGAACGAATTCACCAAATCAAGTACAGTGGAGTAAAATAAAAGGGAATTGGTGGAGGGAGTAGACTTTTTTTGGATGATTGATGATTTGTGGAAACTTCTGCACACAAATCAATTTATAAATTATTTTAATTTAGAATTATTTTATAGATTTTCCTCCAAAAGATTTCCGGTTTTTTTTGGGATTAAAGAATCATTCGTAACGACTCAAAATTTGAAATTAAATTTAGTCCTTCATTGTTTAAATAATAGAATCATGTGAAAAACGCCAGTAACCGAATGAAAGCCCTGAGATTCGCCATATGAAAATGATGGAAATAATTATTTATTTTTATTAAAAATGAATGAATAATAGAATAATTCGTTTTCCTCGCTCTTTACTGTGAAAATTATTTATTAAAACAAATGGCAATCTTGAATATTTGCAATTTTTCAATTATTTCGTAACTTTTCTTCCAGAAGTGGACTCTCTAATTTTTTTTCCATTGAAAAAATAATTCCTAACGATTCAAAATGCCGAATTAAATGAATAATGAAATGATGGACCTTCCTCACCTTGAAATTTTGCAACTTTTTAATTATTCAAAAAAATAATTCCTACCGATCCAAAATATACAATTCAGTAGCGAAGTGGTAAAACGGTAAAAGTCAATTTCGATTATTCACCACTTTTCAATAAATATCTCGGAATCTAATGGAGATACCAAAATTGTTGTTGTAACCTTTTTTGTAGAGCCGATTGAGCGCTACAACAAATGTAATTACAAAAATTTCGCAATCTCTCTTAATTTCGGAAATATTCCTCAAAAACTCAACTGGGAGATGTCGACTTAAACCGTTTCGCCACTTCGCAACTGAATTAATTTTCAACCTTCAATCTTTAAATAAAAAAATCGTCTGAAAAAGCTCGGAAACCGAAAGCCCTGAATTGACCCGAAGGCGTATTAGGAGAACATTTTAGTCTCCATTGAGTGAGTAAAACTAATGACCCCTCAAACCGTAAAAAACAAATTGAAAAAATTTCGCTCTCAGCCAAAAAATTGAATCGTAACCAGCGATAAGAAAATAAAGCATTCACCCAAGGTCGCCAACAATCGATCGTCTTTTGTGATTACCGCCCCCAGGATTGACCTTGAATTTTGCGCTCGCACACAAACATGTGGTATACCCAGCACGAGACAAGAAAACCGAGAAAGTCCGCAGTGCTGGCGAGCTAGCGTGAATTTTCCATGAAAATTCACTCGCCCAATGAGTTCAATACCACCGAATTGATGAATCCTCGATGTATCAACGTGAGAACATGACGCACGCAACGTCTCAAAAATAACTGACAATGAGAGATGATCGTGTTAACGACTTTCCGAGGGATTACGTACACACGTAAGAGATCTAATCATAACAAATATGAGGGGAACAGCTGATGTTAAAGGAGCTTTACAACGGCTGCTCATCGATCGACCCCCGAATTTTCGGTGAATTGGGATTTCCGAGTTGACAACAGAACTATTTTTGGGTTGACGAGTGAATAGAGATTCTCATCTCGTTAATTGATGAAGTGAAACCTATTTTTTCACTCCCGAACGCTCGATTTTATTCGTCAGAACATGTTTCTATTTTCAGCTGGAACATGAACATTGTTGTGTGAATAAAAAAAGTTATAGAAATCAATAGATTAAATGAATGAACGAAAAAAACTAGATATTTTCGTCATTCTAGACTTTTAATTTCATTTGGCATACCGTTTTTATATTTAAAAATCAAAAATACAGATTGTTGTGCATAAAAATGATGAAAATAATTAAAATAAACGAATGAATGCAAAAAATCGTCTTTCAAATTATTTTAATACAGAAAATTCTTTAGTTCTGGGCTTTTAATTTAATTTGTCATAACATTTGTGCATGTTAGGCTCCAAAATAAAGAGTATGTTGCATAAAAAATGCGGGAAATAACTAGAATAAATTGAGAAAATAAAACATATTTTTTCAAGCGACTTTTTTCAAATTATTTTAATGAATGAAAAATATTTGAATACTCACAATTATGCGTCCACTCTCCAGCAAATGCTAAAAAACAGTGATACACTGCATTTTTCGCTTCGTTAATGAGTCCACTGTTTATCCCGAACGGGGTGAATGATAAAGAAAACGCGTGGAACAATGAAAAACTGAGGATATTCACGCCGAGGTGCGTACGAGTGATTAAGACGCGTTCAACAAATTGCGGAGTGTGCTTTATGTGTACAAAATACAATGGATTTGGGCTTGAGCGGACACGAAATATTCCAGCGATTGGACACGACGGGGATGACAATCGGATAACACTCGGTTTGGCAAGCACGTTTTTGTGATTGGGGAAAATTATTGTTTTATCGCTCGAGGTGGAGGAGATGAGTGGTTCCGTGGAAAGCGCGAATAGACAAATGCGTACGAATGCACCTGCTTGGATAGAATCGTCCACGACGAGGGGGTGGATGCCGCAGGGCGCAGGCGCGGCTTGTCACCCCTTGACTGCGGGTGTTGAAAAATTTTGCTGGGGGTGTGGAATTTTTCAACCTATTTTGTTGCTTGCGAGTGGAGACATTGTATTCGTCAAATCCGAATTTGTAATTTTTTGGGTCAGGAATTACTGATTTTTGCCTCAGGGGTGCGAATATGGTATTTTCACGCACGAAAAAAATTAATAGAAAAACCTAGAGCATTCGCTCGATAATTTTATTGGATTTGTATTGAACTTTCTAGTCATTTTTGCCCGATTCTATTGGAATGATCAGTAGATAACAGTCTATAGAAAGCCGATAGAATTCGATTTTTCAATGCAATTTATTCTATGGAGATGATTTCTATAAAATTTCTTCGAGTCAAATTTTTCATGTTTTTTGTTTGATATGAAATTGGGATGTCAATGCAATTTCGGAAATTAATATAATGGGATAGTGAAAAAATATAACAGAAAAAATGGTGTTTTGCTGATGACGTCTTTGTGTCTTAAATTGAGAAACAATTTTTCCGCTTCCAATACTGTGAATTTTCTTTCCATTTACGATACAATCGTTCCTGGAATTTCTAATTTCTCTTGAAAACTAAAAAATTGGGATTATTGTGCCGAGCGATCGTCGAAATTTCAATGACAGTCTGAATTTTCGCACTCAGTGTCAAAGCTGAAATTTAAATTCAACTAATAACATTAAGTCGCGGATTCAAATAGTTTCCACAGCAGAAATAATAAGAATTAACATGTTAAAAAAAATATTCTTATTTGGTTTAGCTTCAAGACCCATTCAAATCTTGCACAGAAGAAAATTACCTTATCGACCCTCAGGAAATCGTTCATTTCGCAATCAAAATAGCACATGATTGATGTTTGGACTTGTGGAGAGGATAAAAACGTCAACTAAATAATTACCAAAGAGTGAATATTAACCCCCTAGGAATATCGAAATGCTGGAGGAATCGGAGTACGAGGGGGATCTCGACGAGTACGACATATACAAACGAAAGTATCAGCTCATGCTGGACAGATGCGAACTCCTACAACAGGTAAATAATCAAATTTCAGTGTTTTTCCTCGATTTGAACGGCATTCTAAATTGGGACGTGTCAACAGGATAACGAACGACTTGTGTATCGCATTCAGACCGTGAGGAAGCTCTTGAAACGTACCAGGAAGGAGAAAAAGTAGGTGGTTATAGGTTATCCTTATCATTTATCGAGTGGAGTGAAATGGACTGTTTTCAGTCGCTAATAACTCGAGTTCGGCAGAGTGAAATTGCGATATTTTCTTTTTATTTTGAAGGTATTTTTTCAAGCTTTAAAATGAGATGCAATTCATCCAAATCGCATCGTTTAATCCAGAGATATTAACGATTTTGAAAAATCAACTTTATTTCACCCTTCACTAAACTCTTTAAAAACGTTTGATGAAGGAGAAAAATTGTTGATTATCTTTAAAAGAGTGGGGCAAAATGGGTATTTTTTAGTTGTTAATAAGTAGTGCATCAGAATGAATAAATAAACGGTCCATTTTACCCCTTTTGGATGATTAATGCGGTTGTTTTACCGAAAAAAACATGAATAAAAATATAATTCCCTTCAGATTTCTGATTGATCGACTCGATCAGCATGGCGATCGTTGGAGAGAGGCCCCAATGGGTGTTTCCGAGGAGAACAGTGTGTTCCAAGCAACGGTGAAGTCCGAGAAGCAGCAGAAAACATCGCAAACAGTGAAGGAGGAGAAACCGAAGAAGGGAACGAAGAGAAAAGGTGGCAAGACAGATCCGAATGCTCCAAAACGTCCGGCAAATCCGTTCTTCCAGTTTTGTCAGGAGCAGAGGCCCAGGGTGATGGAGAGGCTCGCTGGAGAGCCAGAACCCAGTAAACAAGAGCTCACGAGACAGCTGGCGACCACCTGGAAGTCTTTGAGTTCTGAAGATAAAAAGGTTTTTCTATTTGTTTTTTCAAGAATTGTTTTCATCACTTCGTCATTCGTTACACGAAAAATATGGGACGAGTGATGTTCTTTGAACTATTGAATATGTGATTCCTTTTTCCTCTTCTTCATTAGAAAATAACTCAGGGTTTTAAAAATACAAATTTTTGTATTCGTTTTTTCAATAATTTTTTCGTCACTTCATCATCAATCAGAATGAAAATTATGGAACGAATATCATCCTTCGAATTTTCAACTGTGCAATTCGTTTCTTTCTCCAATTTATTATATTTATTTCTCGCAAAGTGATGAATTATGAATTACTGAATTATTATTTGGAGAATAATTAAATTTGTCTTGCAAAAAATATTGCTTTCTACAGCATCAGTGTAAAGTATTAGTGTCAGTATTTCGCTTTCAAAAAATCCAATTTTCTCTTTAAAAATACATTTTTCAAATTAATAAGCAATTTCTCCTTATTTTTCAGGTTTACTACGATATGTACGAGCGATCGAAGGAGAAATACGTCGCTGAAATGCAGATTTATAATAAGAAGAGTGAAGACACACCTAGTCAAATTCCCCTGCACATAACTTAAGAGTGTCCCACATTAAGAATAATAAATATTCATTATTTCGCAACAGCATTCTCATTTATTTGGAAGAAATCATCTGAACGGAAGCATAAACAAAGTAACTCGTGCTATTGCACTTGTGACAACAGTTTCCCAGTATTTTTGGGGGTAATTAATTCACTCGGGTTTATTTGAAGTTGTCTTTCTCCCTCCGCAAGGAGGCCATGGTTGCCACAAGTCCAGTCGTTGCTGTGTGCTCCATGACAGATGCCTCGTGAACTCTCATGAACGGATTCGTTTTCTTCTCGTCTTCAATTGTACTCGGGACTGTTGGGGATTGCGCCTTGCGTTGAGCCTCTGCCCACTCCAATTTATTTTTGATATTTTCGTTTGACGGCTCCACTGTCAATCCAAACTGGAGATTTTTGCAGGTGTACTCGTGCCCACAGAAGACTTTCTGCGAGTGAACACAAATTTATCAACAATATTTTTTATTATACTCATTAAAATATATAATTTTTTAAAATTTCTCATCAATTGTAAAATTTTGCTACTATTTTTGAACATTTTGTTGTTATGAATAAATAATGAGAAATGTTTAAACCTTCAGAAATCACATTTTCTTGTTATGAAATTTATTATTAATTTAAAAAGAGAATTTTTAGAATAGAAAATCCAGTTTTTGTCAATTCTTTATTTAAGAAGGTTTTAACGTCCAATAATAACGGTTTATCGATCATTTTATGAGTCGAATAACTCTAGTGAAGAATAACAATTCCCATAAAAATAAAAAAAAAAGATTTAATATAAATCAATCTCTCATTCTCAAAATCTACTCTAATTTCAAATCTACTCTTCATCAATTTAGTAGTGAAGCGGTAAACCGAGTTGAGTCGATTTTGACTTTTGATCAGTTTTTGATGAATATCTCAGAACCTAAGAGAGATAGCAAAATTTTTCTCATGACCTTTTTTGTAGAACCGATTAAGAGCTATAAAAAGGTCATGACAAAAATTTTTCTATCTCTTTTAGATTCCGAGATATTCGTCAAAAACTGGCCAATAGTCAAAATCGACTTAACCCGGTTTACCGCTTCGCTACTGAATTATTTATGAAAGATTTTAATTCTCCCATGAATCGAATGAAACGAATGAAGAATAATAATTTCCATAGGACCTACATTAAAACCGAAACCCAACATACCGTTTTTTCGGGGAGGGATCCAAGCACTTCACCAAGTGCTTTGCACATTTGCTCGGCAGTCCCCTCGAAAAATCTCCCACAGCCACCCACGAACAAGGTATCACCTACGAAAAACGTTAAAATTAATTTTCCAATAGGACTAAGAAGACTGTAGTAGAGCACGAGGCTCTACAATTCCCAAAGGTTTCTTACCAGTGAAGACAGAGGGTGGATCGTCGTCCCCTCCACTGACGAGGTAACAAATGTGTCCAGTTGTATGACAGGGTGTCCCCAGACACTGGACCTTCAAGCTCCCAATGTTGAAACTGTCCCCATGAGCCACGATTTTATTAACAGCCTCGACTCTGTCATCCCCACCATATATCTGAACGCCTTTGAATTTCTTCAGCATATTCTCGTTCCCCCCAGCGTGATCCCAGTGGTGGTGAGTCGTCAGAATTTTCGTCAAGTTGAATTTATTCTCTTCAACTGTACTTGCGACGAGGGTTGGGTTCACTGGGTCTACCACAGCTGCCTCTTTAGTTTTGTCGTCAACAATCTGCGGTGATGAAAAAATTCAGTGGAATTAGCGAATTGGTAAACTGTTGGAAAATTAATTTCGTGAAATTACAGGCGAAATTATCAGTGAAGAATTTTTCTTTTTAGGTTTGTCAATTTTTTTTCCACATTACCCTCATCAGCGACTCAACTAAAATTTACTCATACCACTTAAGTGTTAAATTTAAATTAAGTTAAGTTAAGTTAAGTTAAGTGTTAAGTTTAAATTTAAACTTACCAAATACATGAAATTGTCCTGCAGTGCCGGTAGAATATGCACCGACATGGACTGACCTTGGACTATAGTCTTTAAACTGTGCATCCTGCCGAATCCGTTTGTCGTGATGCTCCTCGCTAAAAAATCAAATAAAGCAAAACAAATAGGCATGAATAATTCGGAGTAAAATCGCCAATAACAATCAGCAATTGAAATAGCACCATTGAAATGAGATCAAATACCTGTGAAATAAGCACAAGTCAACTGTTTCTCGAGCCAAAGTGGACAGCGACGGAGTGCAGCATTAAAAAACATATGCACCAAGATGTGTATCGTCTATCCTCTCAGGAAATTTATTGTTTATTATCCTAGCACTGTTTTTCAAGAAAACCCACTGTCACCAGGAAGACCTGACGACAAATAACAACTCGAACAACTTATTTCACTCGCGTAACCTAAATGCAATCGACAAGTGGTTTGACCGTTTGACGAGTGAAGTTTGTGGCCAATGAATCAGCTGACATCTCATTCATGTGAAAAATGCACTGTGTGTCTCTATAGTAAATGGAGTAAACAACATCGTGGTTGGCATAATAGTGAAGACGAGAACGTAATGAGGAGCATCAGTGAAAATAGTTAATTAAAAACTGCGTCGACAGATCGAGTATTAAATTAGTGGGCACCATGGAAGATGTCGAGGTATTATACGAAGGTATGAGTGTCATAGTTCAATATGTGGGGCTGGGGAGGCTAAGGCGAGTGAATTTGCCGATCATATTTCTCTTCTTTCGCATTTTTTTGACATATTCGATGATATTTTTTATTTTATTCGATTATTTTTAGTTCATTATTCATATTTTATATTAATAATAATTGTAGATCTAATTCGTTGGTTGGTTAGTAGGGGAGGGTGGGGTAAAATGGACACTTTAGACTTTTTTAACATTATTCATAACTCAGAAACAAATTTATTAATTGAGATCAGTTTAAGCTCATGACAAAGGGAAAGAACTGTTGTTTGTATTTTAAAAAAATTACTAAATTTCATCAACATTTCAACAGATCATTAACATTTTAAAAAAAGTCAAAAGTGTCCATTTTACCCCAGCCTCCCCTATGATGAATGATGATAGTTGAGTATGGGGTAATTTAATAGAAAATCACAGGCATTCGTTAAAAAATTGTGCAGAAATTCTTGAACATGAATTTTCAGATTTTTCTACTTTTTGATTTTGCAATAAGTAATTGAGAAAAACAGAGGGATATTTATATCGAAGGAATATTTATACTTTTGTAGGAACAATTGAAAGGAATGAATGACATAGAATTTGAATAAATAATAATAAATAATAATGAATAATAAATTAACTGATAATATGATTATGACTTTATTTCTATGAAATTTTCGTGTATTCGTATATACTCCACAATTTTTATAATGTATTCGATTATATTTTACACGTACCCTCGAATTTAGTAGTTTTTATAAATAACGATAATCAAATGTGAGAAAATCCAGCAGAAAACCTAAAGCATTCGTTAGGAAATTCTACAAGACATGAGTTTTCGAAATTTCTTTTCTCAATTTCGTAATGACATCTTCTACACATCAGAATCTCAAATGAATAATTCACACCTAAAAAAACAAATCTATTGATTTTTTCCCACAAAATAATTTTTTAAAATTAGCGTTAAAGCAAAAACCTAAAAGAATTCTCAAAAAAACTCTAATCCAACTCGACGAAAACTTCTTTTAGACAAATCTCTAGCCTTCTCTATTCAATAATTTGCGCAACGATGAAATGAATTTCCCGAATAAATTTCTTCACATTCATTCACGTTTTTTGTGTTCCCTTTTCACCATTCCCCAGCAACTGAAGAAGACGAAATAGCAGCGATAGACTTTGAGTTACGCCAAATCCAGGGAGAGATTGAGAAACTGAAGGAGCGAAAATTAGCCCTGTCGCAGCGCAAACAGAAGCTGCAGGATGACGCCCTCTTGAAGAAGAGCCTGACAGTCTCGAAGAAAGATTGGGAAAGAGATGATTTCCCTTGGTCGAAGGACCTCCTCGACGCCCTGACCAAAGTCTTCAGAATAAAGCGGTTTCGAGAGCTCCAGAAAGCCGCAATAAACGCTATTTTATCCAAAGAGGACACGATATTGGTAATGCCAACTGGTGGTGGCAAGAGTTTGTGCTATCAGCTGCCAGCAGTGATCGGCAAGGGGGTGACAATCGTGATATCGCCCCTGTTGGCTCTCATGGAGGATCAGCTGCACGGGCTGGAGAAGATAAACGTCAAGGCGGGGATGATGAACCCCAAGTCCGACAAGACCGTGACGAAGTCTATCATGGATGCTCTGGAGGGGAAGGACGATGGCCTGAAACTCGTTTACATCACCCCAGAGTACATGAAGAAATCCAAGAGGTTCATGGCGAAGCTGCAGAAAGCCTTCAACATGAAACTACTTGAACTGTTTGCTATTGATGAGATCCACTGCTGCAGCACATGGGGACATGACTTCAGACCGGATTATCAGTTCTTGGGCTGTCTCAAGGACATGTTTCCAGGTTCGTATTTTTTAAATCGACGATTTCGTGTGAAATAAAATCCCCCAAAGCCCCCAAAATAACCGATAACCATCCCCAGGTGTTCCAATCCTCGGTCTCACCGCGACGGCCCCAGCGAAGATAATAAATGACGTCCAAAAGATGCTCGACATCCAAGGCTGCCTAGTCCTCCGTGCCTCGTTCAACCGTCCGAACCTCTTCTACGAGGTTCGCCGCAAGCCAGCGGACAAAGAGGTCTGCCTCTCGATGCTAGCCAACCTCCTGAAGACCCGTTTCGCCGACATGTCCGGCATAATCTACACAACAACGATAAAAGACGCCGAGCAACTGACCTCGGACCTGCGTGACAAGGGCCTGAAGCTCGGTTGCTACCACGCAATGCTCGAGCCAGAAGTGCGATCGAAGATCTACCAGAGATGGATAACGGGGGAGTACCAGGCAGTGGTCGCAACAATTGCCTTTGGCCTGGGGATAGACAAGCCCGACGTGAGATTCGTTATTCACCACTGCGTGTCCAAGTCAATGGAGAATTTTTATCAGGAGAGCGGTCGTGCTGGGAGGGACGGGAAAAAGGCGGCTTGCATCGTCCTCTATCGTCTCGCTGACATCTTCAGGCTCAGTACAATGGTCATCGGCGATAAAGTGGGACTTCAGAACCTTTATAAGGTCCTGGAGTACTGCCTCGAGCCTGGCACATGTCGCAGGAGCCTCATTGCCAAGCATTTCGAGGAGAACTGGAGGCAGGAGGACTGCGCTGAGATGTGCGACCACTGCAGAAGACCCAAGAAGAGCAAGGAGACTGACATCGGCTCGCACTGTCGTCAGCTCTATCAGATAATCGAGAAGGCCCTCAAGGGCGAGACTAATCTGACGTTGATCAAGCTGATGGATGCTTGGTTCAACAAGGGAGCTGTTGCCTACAGGGTCTCCTCGATTCCAGTCCCCAAGTTCTCGAGGGAAGCTGGGGAGGCCATCGTTGGGCATCTTCTCGTCAATGGGTACCTCAAAGAAGACTTTGTGTTCAATGCCTATGCCAATCTCACGTACCTCAATCGAGGACCCAAGTCCGGACTCGCTATGGATAAGAACCATCGGATTATGTTTTGTCATGATCAGGCTTTGGATCTCTGATTTTTTTAGAGTGCGGGGGCTTAGGATATGGTAGAGTCTTTATTTTGAGGTGTTCTTTTCAGTATCTTTTCTTTGTCTCGATATCGAAATGTATACTGTTAAGTGCCAACGAATGTCTTGAAATAATGTTTTGGTGACATGAAAGGAAAAATGAATACTATGGTTGGAGGATTAGCTTCGTTGAATGGTTTGTTCTCTTTTGAAGGGGTTTCCGGAAATTCAATTTGAAGCCATCGAAGCTAGTTTCAATGAAGAAAAATGAATAGAATTTTTTTTTTCAATTTTCAGTGGATATTTGATAGAAAAAAATTTTTGGATTCTAATTTTTCTGTAAAAATTCTGCGGGATGAATTTTCGAATTCTATTTTTTGGTTTATTAAATGAACAACGGAGACAATACAGAGAAAAAACCTCAAGAAATCATGTTAAAAAATTTATCCAGAATAAATCTTAACAAAAGAGAATTTTCTGGGAAATATCTCTCGAATCGTGTTTTTTCTGTTGAATTTCAGTCATAAAATGTCCAATTAATTTTGACAATTGCATCAGTATTATTCAACACTTCATCATAAAAATGATTTACGAAAAGTCATCACCATTGTGTCATTTACTAACGAATAAAAGATCTGATACAAAAAATACGAAAAATGCATTATCACGTAATTTTCATCGTATTTTACATCGATAATGCGTCATTATTATTCGACACTTCACCATGGAGACGACTCTCTGCATGTCATCGCAAATAATCGTGGATAAAAAATATAACAAATGATCACGTATTTGCGTATAACGGCACAATATTCGTATTATCTTGAAATAGCTACTTTGATAAGCTAAAAACTTGTGGGAAGTGGAATGTAAGTGGTTTGGATAGTAGGACTGCCGGGAACCCAATGGAAATATTGATCCTAAGAGAGAAAAGGGCACAACCGAGTTGTACACTGTGCAGTGCGCATCGTGCACTGAGTTTTCGTTGATGAATTTGTTGTGATCGTGTGCTACATCACAGTGCGGCGAAATTATTTATTCACGTTAAACCACTAATGAAAAATTATTTCCCATTTCCTCTGGGTTTTATTTTTTCCCGTTAAAATAATGTTAAAAATTGAGAGGGCCAGTCGTGAAGATGATGGGGTGAACAGTGACGTCGAGGATAATTTATAATTTAACGAAACTCCAGGAAATAATGAAACAATAAACATTTGCAAAGTTTGAAAAACGATTTTACTTTTGAGGTGAGGGGCTACTGACTGTGAGTTTGGTTTCCACACGTGTAATGAGGCCAGTTACTCAGCGATAACGAAACATATGTTAATGCTGTTGACAGATAATATGAGAATAATTACACAGCGTGAGAATGTGAGGCTCTCGTTTCATTTATTTTCAGATAGTCGGGTGAAGTGGGAAATCATCGTCGAACGGTGTGAAAAAGTATGAATAAATAGGGAAGAACTGAGGATGACGTTTGGAGAAATTAATTGATAATTAATGTTAATATCCAAATATTCAGAATAACAACATGACATTTGGATCAATAAATTGACAATTAATCGATCAGTCGATCACAAATTAATCAAACAACGTGTGAATTTGAAACTCATTTAATCAATTTTCAGATACGCTGAAATAAAAAAGAAATCGATAATTAATCAATAAAAAAATATTTGATCCTGAAGTTCTCGAGTCCTTCATTCTTGAATAATCGGAATAAAATACGAAATCATCATCGAGGGATAAAAAATGCACGAAGGAAGAATGACAACATGACATTTAGATAAATAAATTGACAATTAATGGATCGATCGATAACTAATTAATCAAACAACGTGTGAACTTGAAACTCACTTAATTAATTTTCAGATATTCAGTGCGAAATAAAAATTATCTTGATAATTAATTAATAAAAAAAGTTTTTTGAACCTGAAGTTTTCGTGTCCCTCATTCATAAAAAATCCAAATAAAATACGAAATCATCATCGAGCAATAAAAAAAATACACAAAGGAAGAATAACATGACATTTGTCCAAACAAATTCCAGATTAATCGATCAGTCGCTCACAAATTAAACCCCATGCGCACTTGAACCCCATTAAATCAATTTTCCCACATTCCCGCGGAAAAAAATGCAATCGATAATAAATCAGTAAAAAAATGTTTGAACCTGAAGTTCTCGCGTCGCCCATTCCCGAATAATCGGGATAAACCCGACCGAGCGATAGACCTAGCGATAAAAATCCCCGGAGTATTCCCCACAGAGGATGCCACCAGCCTGATACCTCAATAACTTATTACCCCCGAAACTAAACCGATCACCCCCCAAAATGCCGTTGCCAAATCTCCTGCGGAAGGCGAGCAACTACATTCTGGGTGAGAGTCCCCCGGACCGAAAGATCCTCTACCAGGACGGTGAAGCGCTCTTCTGCAAGAACAACGTCTGCGTGCACCCACCGATGCGGCAGCACTGCGACGTGGTGCACCACCCGGGGTACCTGACGATCACCTGCAGACTCGGCGAGTGCACGGAGGTGCCGAGCCTCCACCTCTCCTGGATCCCCAACAGCACGTTGAGGAAGCACCCGACGACGCTGGAGAACCTGACGCCCAAGCGCAGTTTTTCGTCGGAGGGAAATTCCCTGCCCGGCAAGATCGCCGAGGAGGAGGGCAACTCCGAGCGACTGGACGTCTGCCTGGAGGTGAAGGAGCCCGTCGACTGCAGGGACTGCGAGAGGATATGCTCCGGGGGGTGCGTCGAGGGCCTCCAGGGGCAGAAGGTGGGGAACTCCGAGGAGAAGAGCGCGAGCGAGGGCTTGCGGGACGAAATGAAAAATCACGAGGACGAGGGGATCATCCTGAGCCGATTGAGGTCGGAGTCCATTGACTCGGCCTCGCTGGACGGCGGCACTTACGCACATCTGGCCGCCATGAAGAGCCGGAGTGTGTCGCTGACCTCCTGCAATTTGTCCCTGAGCGGCCCCAATGATCACGATTTCCCCACGTGGATGCGGTCCCCGGAACTGCTCGCTCTGCAGCACAATCTCACGTTCCCGGAGAGTGCGACGGCCTCGCCCGTCACTGTGAGGAGGGCCCATGCGTGTCGGAGGTTCTCGGTGGATCTTGCTCAGATGAGGTCGCTGAGGCTCTTCTTCGCCGATCCCGGGTGCACCTGCGGACAGCTGGTCGTCGCCAGCAGGGAGAGTCAGTATAAGATTCTGCACTTTCATCATGGCGGGCTGGACAGACTCGCCAGCACTCTCCATCAGTGGCATCAGCTGCTTTATCCCAGGCCCCAGGAGGCGCATGATACCGAGGGCAGCCTGCCGTATAGGTGAGCGGTTGCGAAGGGTTTTTTTTCCAGTTTTCAAGTTTTATTTATTTTTTCATCACGCTGTGATGAAAAATCATTGTGATGAAAAATCATCATCATCATTGTGATGAAAAATATTGTTCGTAACTCGTAAAAAAAAACACTTTTTTGCACTCGTTACGAAATATACTATTTTTTATGGGGAAAAAAATTTGGTTGGCGTTTTAGTTATTAATGAAGTTATGTAAATTGTAGTTTTTTGGTAATAATTTTTAGGGGTACATGTCTCAATATTCCAGGTTTTCTAAAAGAGTAGGAATTGTTCGATGGGAGAAAGTCTGACGACAATTTTCACGTTTAATAATTTATGAGAAAAACCTATTTCTTTGAAAAATTCGATTTTTTTTTCAAGGGTTCAAATTTTCAACGAAAATGCGACAAACAACTAGAATTTTTTTAATAATATTATAAGAGAACTCCATTAAGAGATGTTTTTGAATTTTTAACGTTGTGGAGTTGAATTCAATTTGAGATTAACTTGTACAAGGAATTTCTTACTCAGCATGAAAAATACGCAAAATTGAATTTTTTAATTCAAACTTCATAAAAAAATTCTTGAACTTCTTATAAAATTAAACATCACATTCGACTGAATTTTCAACAGACTGAATAATTGCATTCCCATTGAATATTCCAGAAATCGATTCATCTTTGAGTGGAAAAATGTATAAAAATGTCATGTGAATGAGTCGTCGCTGAAAATGTCAAGATTTTTACTTAAATTTTCGCGAGTAATTTTCTGAGACTGCATTTTGTTCGGGCTTCGGGCCAAAAATGTCATTTCTCAACATTTCCAGACACTTCATGGTATGCAGGCCGGAAGTTGCTCGAGACGAGCTGCACCCCGAAGAGGGTCAGGTTTCCATGATCACCTCGCTGGCGTGGAAAGATTTGTTAAATGAGAGGGGTCAGGTGGAAGACGATCTCGCGCTTCGGAAGGGCATTTTCTTCGGCGGCCTAGAGCCCGCGCTGCGCAAGATAGTCTGGCCTTTTTTGCTGCACTGCTATTCCTATCAAAGTACTCACGAAGACAGGGAGCAAATCGACGCCATCAGGAGGCAGGAGTACGAGGAGATTGAGAGACGGAGGTGCTCCATGAATCCTGAGGAGGCGGAGCATTTCTGGAGAAATGTCGTTTGCATCGTGGAGAAGGACGTCGTCAGGACGGATCGGGCTAATCCGTACTATGCGGGGGAGGATAATCCCAATATTCGTGTGATGAAGTGAGTATGACAACAGAATTCTCCAGAAATTTATTAAAAAGAGAATTGAGAAATGACAAATTCCAATTTTTTTCTGAATTCAGAAATGACTGAAAAAAAAATCTTAATTCTGGATTTCTTCAGTTATTAATTTATTTTTTTAATTATCACGTTCATGAATTAAATTGTGTAAAAAAAAATAATGACTCGATAAATTTATCAATTGGATAATCGCTAGAATTAAATTTTGAAGAATTTACTTTTTCAAACGTTCCTCTCTCGCAAACGAATGATGAAAATGGTTTAAACTTTCGAGAGACCTGATTCGTTCCGCGAGGAATTGATTCCCGTTCGAATTTTAAATATCAATTATCTGTTTGCGATTAAAAAAATGAAGATTACATTGAGAAATTGTTTGTTTATACAATATATCAATAACTGATAATACGGTGAAAATATTTACAAATTGCAAATGACTGAGCTCCGCTCCATTTTCTATAAATAATGTATAAACAATCAATTTTCCTCCATAAAAATTATTTACTCAGAATAATGAAATTTATTCACATTCAGAATTTTAAAGAATTTTAGTTTAATCAATTTCAGTGATTTATTGATAAACAACGAATGTTTAAAAAAATAATTCCGTGCAAAATGTAATGTGGATAACGCTGAATACTCATAAAAAATTTGATGATTGAAAATGATTGAAATTAAACCCCCCTGGAAAAATATATAAAAAAAATATATAAGATAGGTCAATTTAATATATTCTTCGAATATATATAAGCTTTATAAAAATATAAATTTATATATGTTTCATATACAAAATATATAATTGTCAGAATACATATTTTCCCGTATGGAAAGTGTGGTCTGCACCAAACAGTAAAAAATACTTAGATATTCTTAAATTGTCAAGACAACAGCTCTCATTGGAGATCAAAAGTTCCCAAAAAAATAAAATGGTATTGATTTCAGGAATATCCTCCTAAATTACGCTGTCTACAACGCTCACTTAGGCTACACCCAAGGAATGTCGGACCTCCTGGCCCCCCTCCTGGCGGAATTGAACTCAGAAACCGATGCATTCTGGTGTTTCGCTGGTCTCATGCAGCGCTCGGTGGCAGTCTGCACGCCAACCGACACCGACATGGACAAGAATCTGTGCTACCTCCGAGAATTGATAAAGCTCATGGTGCCGGACTTTTACGCCCACCTGGAGAGACACACCGACGCCCTCGAGCTTTTATTCTGCCACCGGTGGATCCTACTGTGCCTGAAGAGAGAATTCCCAACGGAGACGGCTCTCGTCATGTGGGAAGCCTGCTGGGTCAACTACTTGACCGATTATTTTCACTTGTTCCTCTGCTTGGCTATTATGTGCATCTACGCTGACGACGTCATCGCCCAGGACCTCAGGACCGACGAGATGCTTCTGCATTTCAGTTCACTGGCTATGTACATGGATGGCAACGTTATCCTGAGGAAGGCGAGGGGTTTGCTCTATCAGTTTAGACAACTGGATCGCCTGCCCTGCACGGTTGCTGGATTGTGCCGCCAGTGTGGCCCTGGCATGTGGGACAGCAGTCACAATCCTGTTATTGAGTGTCTCGATCATCAGGAAGTCGGTTGCCCCTTTTTGGAGAAGTACCAGGGCCTCAAGTATTAATGTTGTGCAGGGATTAAAAAATTTAATAGAAAAACCTAGCGAATTCGCTAGACTTCAGTCGGATATGAAATATTTAATAGCAGATATTCAATAGAAAAGTCACAAGAACTTTTTTTATTTTGTTAGGTGAAAATTAGTTTATATCCGAGTTATTTATACTGTATTTTCAATGAAATTTGTCGTTTGATTTTGTTGATGAGAAGAAAAGAAATAGAATGGGAAAAAATGGACAACTTTAGCAGATTTTCTCAGAGAAAGCGCTAGGTTTATCTATTATCTCTTCATACGTGTTTCAATTCCCTGCAAATCTGAATCTAGATTATTAATTTCACTCCTATTCCATTAAATTACAACACAACAATTCGTTATGTTGACATTTAGCAACTAATGCTCCTCCCTTGAGTCTTTATCATTAAAAAAAATCCCTCTTTCACTCCATCGTTCATTGATGCAAACACCCCTCGCTTCGGTTATCCAATAATTTTTTTAATTGAACCGCGCCTCCCCCAAGGAGAATTATTCAAAAAGGTAAGACTGACTGGAAAACCAAAGACCAAAAAGTTAATATTATAGAAGTGCGCGTGATTGAAGCACAAATTTTAAAATGCTCATTGAATTCGCCATATTGAACAACAATCTCAATACTGTGGAGGCTCAAGACTATCGTCGATAGTCAAATTATCAATGGAAGTGGGCGATGAATGCAGTAATCGAACATCCAAGTTACTGAGATTGATTTCGTGATTTAATTTCAAATGAATTCATAATCTACAGGATAAATATTTTCAAACGCTTCAGTATCGATCACACGTATGAAAAAATTTAATAGAAACAGCGCTTTTTCTAAGAAATTTCTATTGAAGATTATGCAATTTTACCCTGAAATTTTGTTGAGAGATATTTCATAGAAAACAGTCAACAGATTATTATTTTTCCACAGAAATTCTTAAGCGTTAATTTTTCAAGTTTATCCCCCTGTTTTTTATTTGTTTCCCATAATACAATCCAAGGAAAGAAACTTGAAAAAATTATGCCCAGGAATTGTTATGAAAAAAATCACAACAGAGAAGTTATAGAGAGAAATCAACACCTAACGAATTTTTTCTGTACACAAATATTTATTTAAAAACGCAGGGGAAAGTTGTATGATTTTTAATAGACAGAATTGTCACAAAAACAAATAGAAATTTCATACAATTTCTTAGAGAAAGGGCTGGGTATTTCTACCAAATTTTTTCCCACGGTCAACCACCTCCGCACGCTGATAGATCACTTTATGATGGATCCGCTGTTATTAATTGGACATGTTAACGTTTCTGGCAAGAGTATATAAAAGATTATGAAAAATTCTGCAACCTTTATGCGAAAGGCGAATTAATCGAGAATATCATCCAGACAAATGCTTCATTTCACTCAAATGAATGGGTTTTTTTATGCATAAAAAAGGGTTCTGTGATTCAAATGCTGATTTTATTATTCAGAAATCGAACTGTTGCCTCGACATCAAAGAGAACTAATTTTTTAACATGTAACAGTTGTTTACTTGGAATTAATCAATTATTTATTTATGATAACTGAAACATTTTTGCTGGAATAAATATACGAGTTTATAATTTCAAACAGAAATATTGACGAAATTGGAATTCCAAACAAACAGAGTTTTCTTCGATTCAAATGTATCATTTATCTGGGTGTTGAGAAAAATCAAAGAGCAGTGACACCAATGCGGAGAACTTATGCATGTGCCTGCTCACCGAAAAAATCATTAATGAATCGTCCATTATATGTCTCTTTCATCACTAAATATCAAAGTCTTTTTCAATGTGTTTGCCTATCATCTTGTGTTCTCGTTGTTCAATCGTGAAGCTAAGAAAAGTGTATATTGTACGATTTATCAATGAAAAGTCAATGGAAAATAAAGAAATATAATGTATATTATTGAATTATTGCAAATAAATGAACTGGAAAGTAAAACTGACTCATCAACTCTTTGATTTTATCCCCAGGAGCGCAATAATCCATAATAACTAAGGGTAGTTTGAGCGGAATTGAATATTCATTTTGTTCAACATGATATTGTTTTATTTTTACACTCAACACACATTAACATCGATATTTGACAGTTTCTTGAAGATCACCTATGATGAAAAAATATCAACATCTATTTGTCTTCAATAATGAATCACAATTTTTTAATACAGTCACAGAGGATAAAATTTAATAGAAAAACCTCGAGAATTCGCTAGACAATTCTATTGAACTTTTTAATAGAAAATATTCTATAAAAAAAGTCAAAAGAATTCAATTTTTCTCAAATTTTCCAATTTTTTTTTATTCTATTTTTCGCTTTGTTTCATCAAGAAAATGAAACAAAAAACTTAGAAAATTTGAGTCGAGAAATTCTTCAGAAAATATCTCAAAAATATGTGGAAAAAGTGAAAAATGAAAAAAAATTTTTTTCACCGGAGGCCAAAGTGTCGGATCTTGGATTTTTCCGGGGGGAAAGTCGGTCCAAGGGTCAGAAGGGGCACAAGGGTCAAAGTGTCAGATCGTGGATTTTTCGCCAAAATCGAATTTTTTAGCCGGGTGAACGTTGATTCCAACTATTTAAGCGACGGGCTATTCAGAACAATACATTGTATTGAAAACTCAAATAAAAATTGTAGAGAAAAATCCGATCAAAGTCTCCAACAAATTTCCTAGGCTTTTCTATTAAATTTTTTTCACACACGGTTCCTCAGACTTTCAAAATAAACATTATACATGTCGCAGATGCAATTGCAATTGGGTGTTTACACGAAATGTTGGTATCTTATCATTTTATTCAACGAGAACTGGACTGCAATCACCCAATTACCTATAAATAATAAATCCAACTACACTAAATCAATCTGTGCGATCAGACTTTCATCACGAGAAGAATGAAATCGTAGTAATCGATATTGTCTAGCAAACACGACAGAAAATCAATGTTTACTTTCACTGATATTTACATCTGTTTATCAATTAACTTCTCAATTCAGTACTTAGTGTCTCTATTGTCACACACAGAGGACATTCAAATCCTGCGAAAGTTTATCCGTTCCTAGATATTACATTTCTCAATATAAAATAGAGAAAACAAGGGTAATCAGAGTAATGTCAGCAAAATATCTTATAAAAATGTGACATAACACTTATATTTCATGAAATTCACTGGATTTCTACTGAAAAACTCTGACGCTTCCCCATGCATTTGTCAGAATAGAAATGTTGATTAGAAAATATTTTATGTAAAAAATTTATAGATTTTCATCTTTTTATACTTCTTATTCTGTCAAGATTTTTTTATAAAAGCCGCTCAGCTGGAATTCTCTGAGTTTTTTGCTTGAATTTTTTCACCTAATCAAACAAAACTACAGCAAAATAACTCACAATATCTCAAGGGAATACCTCAAAAAATTAAGTCGCGCAAAAAAATCAAAATTTATTAGTTTTTTTTCATTGAATTTCGCCGTACATTTCCTCAGAGAATAACATCACCAAAATAATTGATAAAACTAATAAACCCTCATCTTCCTACCCACCACACTCTCTTGAGAATATTCCCAAAAAAATGCTGAGCTCAAACTTCCGGGTTTTTGCTCAATTTTCAAACAAAAAAAACGGAATTCCGTCAAAAAATCTCAACAGAGTCAGTTGCATGAAAAAAATCAGAGCCTACCAATTTCTCGAGTAAGTTTCCTCGCTCCAAAACGAGTAAAAGAATAATAACGAAGCATGAAAATATTTTATAAAAAATGTGACATAATACTTCTATGTCATGAAACCGAATGAATTTCGTAGACATTAACAGTGACAATGATCATGCAGGCAAAAGCCCAGAGGACAACGAAAGTGAGCCAGTAGTGGCTGAAGAAAGGGCTGGCGAATTTGTTGGTCACCCCAAGTCCAATGACATCATTAGTTTTTTTTCTCGCATAATAAACGAGGAACGCAGGTATGAGATACTGAATGCCAGCACCAGCATACGACCCAGTGATGCCCACCAATATCGACAAGTCTTTGGTTGTCATTGCGATGGCATAAGGTGGGACAACAGCCAGAATGGGGAACGTCATTTTCCTCAAGCAAAAATTGTAAGTATTGTCTTTATTGAGGAACAACGACTGCAGGTTATTTCTCAGAGTGATGGCTATTATCGGGAAGCTCGTGGACAGTGTGAAGACTGGAAAGAGCGCTAGGAAGTACTCCGTCATTATCAGGAACATGTTGGTGCTGGTGGTGCAGTCTCCAGCCCCACGGGGGCCGAAGTCCAGGGTGTAGAGGTCGTCTATGTGAGCGAAGGCGAATGCACCGGTCAATGCCAGGAGAAGGTAGAAGGCGGCGATGAGAACGTAGTCGAGGAAGAGGGAACGTTTTAGGGTGGATTTGTTGGAGATTGGGGCGACCAGCGCTGGGAGGGAGTGGTGGCACATGAAGGAGTAGACGCAGGCTCCAAAGAGCCCAGGAATGCCTAAAAAATTCAATGGAAATTAATGAAACATTTCAACTCCGAAGAAATTGTTGAAGCAAGAACAAGAACTTCACCGTTTTGCTTATTCGAATGAAATTCTATTTGTTTTTCGTGCGTTTTTATTGGAAATCATTGAATTTTTAAGGGAAAATCATTGAGCTTTAATTTTCCACATTTCTGTATTTTCACTTGATCTGATAACAGAATAAAAAAATTAATTCAGGATCGAAAATTCTTATAGAAGAAAATCCAGCAGAGTAAGTTGAGTTAAAAAATTGGATTTGTCAAAAATATGGAATTTCAACAGAAATTCAGCAAAACAGAAAAAAACACTAGGATTTTGTGATTAAAAATCCAGATTCTATTGTTGATTGATGACACAAAGTGTTGAAAAAGTTAGGTACAAATTGGGTATAAATTTTGTCACTTCATAAAGTTGAAAAATTCAGAAAATAAAATACTTGAAATCAGTTCTGAAATTGAACGAAGCATTCCCCAATTAAAATGAAATTTACCTAGTACATTAGCAGCTGGAGGTGAATTTTGCGGTCCAGAAACAATTAGAGTTCTGGCAGCATACGCAATCATGATGCCAAAGGCCATCCATCGCATCATCGACGTTATGACCTGAAGATACTTCGTCTTCTGGACATTGAAGAAGACGAATGGGCCCAGAACCATGATAAACGTGGTCAGAAAGATCCTGTAGGCGTCCAGTCGATTGACGCTGGAGCCCTCCCAGCAGGCGACGTCGTCAGGAATAGTGTTATTGCACGTAAAATTCAGAGGCTGATACGTGCAGGCCACGTCTGCCATTGATTTTCCAATGGCAGCTCCATAAATGCTCAGATCTCCGTACAAATAAACAGCCAGACAAATGTAAAACAGAGTGGTGCCCACTTTGTTGAAGAATAGGGATGCCATTTCCCCCATTTCTATCCTCTCGTTGATCATGTAGTATCTGTAGCATGTGTTTGTACGTTCTGGGGAGTTGGTCACAGGGGAGACCAGGGGAGTGTCTTCAGAGTCGGAATTGGAGAGACCAGACTCACCAGAAAACTAGAGAATAGTTCCGGTGAAGAAATTCAGAGGAAAACCTTACGATTTGACTTGAAAATTCTACCGAATTTTCTACTTGTTTTTAGCCGATGGAAATGTTCAATGTCAGATACAGGAAAAATCAATAGCCTTGAGCTTTGTTATGTAACTTATTCTCTTGAGATATTTGTGACAGAAATTCCTCGGCTCAAATTTTTCAAGTTTTTTTGTGTAATTTTTTTATGGAAAGGGAAGAGAAATAGAGTGGCCAGACATCGTTTAATAGAACTGGTCGAAGAGTGATGGAATCTTCAACAGAAGTTCAATAGAAATTCAATTCCTTTTAAAGATTGAAGAGAGGTTTATGAAATAAAAAAATTAAAGTGCTCGGGATTTGACTCTCGAAAACCTAATTAAAACGTAATTTGAATTTAATAGTATCTATTTAATTCAATAGAATTTTAGATCGAATTCACTAGGTTTTTTAGTGAAATTTTGCATTAAAATGAAATTAAATTTGAATTTAATTGGAGGGAATTTAAATCGTTTTTTATAAGAAATACCGCGAACATTTTACGACTTAATTGAATTCCAAATTGAACGTGAATATTCAGTATCGAAATAGGCTTAATTTCCAATTAATGAAAATTGTTGAGGTGAAGAGGAAATTCCAAAAGAGTGAGATTGGTTATCCTTTTCTTCCATGAATAAATTGATAGCATAATTTCCCATATTTAATAAGATACAATAACGCAAAAAATTTATCTCCTAAATTGTCTCAAAATTATTGATAATCATGAGTATTCTACTTACTTTTTTTCTGTCTTGTATCCTCTGCCAAGTAAGAATGGCGTTAGCCGATGCCATCGTCTCGATGACGAACGTTACAGTTACAAAACTGCAATTGCAATGCAATAAACATTTCACTTATTTGAAAAAACAGTAAACTACGCGTTAATTGAAAAAAAAACATTATGATTGTTAGTGTTGTGATTGTCACGTTGAGTCGAATTTGACGGATAAATTTAAAAAATTGATATTAAAAGTTGAAAAATATTTAAAACAATGGGTGAGGGAAAGTGCTGTCTCGATCATCAACGAGTTTTCTGTGAAGTTTTGTTGGTCCGCATCTTTAAAATAAATTTTGTTGACTAAACAAGAGTTTCCCAAACACTAGATGAAACTAAATTAATCGCTCTGAAGAGGAGTGACATTTAGTACTCGAACCGTTGGCAAAGTGAATTGAGTTTTTGTGTCAACTCTTGTGGCCGTTAAAATAAAATTTTGAAAAATTCATTAAAATGTAATTAATCGCACGAAACAGTCGGGCTAATCGCTTAATTACCTGATAAACGCTAGAATCAGAATAACGCAGAGTCCGAGAGCCCATCCTGCTCGATTGAAAGCTGCTGGCAGTGTCAATGCCCCAGTGCCAACAATCAGATTGAACACGTAAATAAGTCCCACCTGGACCGAAACAATCCGATGACAGATGACACACTTTCCTTTGTTTACACGCTCAGGTTATGTCCGAGCGTTATAATTCATGAATAATAAGTAATACTCACCCACGTAGAGTACTGATCCGCTGGTGTCTGTTCCGGCATTTCACGCGAATTGTCACTGAGTCTCGATTATTAACAACGACAAATTCCGTAGATTCCAAAATAAACACTTCAACTAGGTAACAATGGTCGATCGAATCACTCCCTCATCGCGGTATTTTTCAACAAAAGAAAACCCCCACTCGATGATTCAACCCTCCAAGCAGTGGACTGAAATAACTAATGATTGAAAGTGTCAATTAATTATTTTCGAGCAGTTTTTATCCTCCAGAGAGATAATCCACTTTTGACACTCACTCGCGAGTGTTTATTGTTACATTTCACATGGCATATCTGCAACCAATCGCAACAGACCTCGGTAGCGCCCCCATGAAATTTGAATGGGCGACGCGTGTCAAAGTAGGGATGAGCGATATTGAAGGAAATATCGAAATCGCGACTATCGATATACTTTGAAAATATCGGTATGACGATATCGATATAACAATATATTTTTTATATCTGAAATATTCGCCAATGACAAGACGACAAAAACAACTAGAGTGATCATGAATAGTGATGGCTGATCGCGTCTGACGGCTCCCAATAATCCGATAGGTCAGATCAGAGAGAAGGGGGTTCGATGAAATAGGAAATAAATAAAATCGTGCGGCATCGAAAATAATATTTCCCTTTTTTCTTGATGACAGTTCATTTATTCCCTTTCGAAATCCTAGAAAATTGAAAGCAAATTTTGACTTCGATATACTAACGAAAAAATATCGAATATCGATATATTAGTCGTCACAAATATTGGTATATCGATATACAGTATTGGCGACTGCGATATATGGAGGAGTATCGCCCATCTCTATTCCGAAACGGAATGTGTTCCTTGCTCTCATTGGCTGGCCCCCAAGAGTAGTTAGTTTAGAGATCACTTGGTGGCTCCTCATATCGACACTGCGATCGTGAATATTCTTTATTCAATTCAATGACTCAAATGATGGAAAATATGGTTTAATATTCCTGACCAAGTAATGCGATTTGAATGAGTCAGGACTCATTTTGAAGTCTAAAAAATTCTTCGAAATGAAAAAAAAATGTAAAAATTCACTTTGACACTCTTGAGTTATTACCGATGGAATCGGTGCATGTCCCCTCCCCCGGAGTTAACGGACATCCATCATTCACAACAATAAAATCGAAAACGTGAAAAATTCATGAGGAAAGTGATAATTCCCTCTCAATCCTGAATATAATCACGAAAAATCCTCTCCTGTCCCTCCCAATTATTTTTCTCACTGGGAGCTCTTCCAGAAGTTTATTTCGCCCCAAAAATATGTGATGAATACGTGAAACGGAGCGAGAAGAGTGCAGGGAAGTATAACCTACCTCAACAATTCTGGAAGCAATAACGAAACCTCGGAGCAAGAGCAGATGAGAGGCGGAAACCCGGGAAAAATGAGCATGGAGTGTCCAAATTGTGGAAAACAAACAAATTTCTCGGATTGTCGATTGATCCAGGACAGTTGTGGTCATGAGAAATGTCGAATGTGCCTATTGTACGAGGAGGAGGGCTGCAAGACCTGCAATGACCTTCTGAGGATCATACCCACGTTTCCACCAGGTGAAATAAAATATTATTTTTCAAGTCAACACCTTCGTTTTGGGAGAAATTCAATTTTTTTTTTTAATTCTATTGGGAATTTCTCCGGATGATATTCTAAATATTCTATTTCATTATTTTCCATTCTCTTTATATTCTCAATTTCACGTTTTCGTAAGACGAAATGAAAGATTTTTTTTCAAGCCAATGCCTTTTTTTATGAGAAGTTGCAACATTTTCTCTGCAAATGTTATCCTAAATATTTAAGTTAATTATTTTTCATTTTCTCTTTACATTCTTAATTTCACATTTTCCTCAGGGGAACTGCAAGATTTTTTTTCAAGCCAACGCCTCTGTTTTATGAGAAATTGAATCATTTTTTTATTTTATTGTCACTGTGTCTAAATGCTATTCTAAATATTCTACTTAATTATTTTCCATTCTTTTTATATTCTCAATTTCACGTTTTCGCAAGACGAAATGAAAGATTTTTTTTCAAGCCAATGCCTTTTTTTATGAGAAGTTGCAACATTTTCTCTGCAAATGTTATCCTAAATATTTAAGTTAATTATTTTTCATTTTCTCTTTACATTCTTAATTTCACATTTTCCTCAGGGGAACTGCAAGATTTTTTTTGAAGCCAACGCCTCTGTTTTATGAGAAATTGAATCATTTTTTTATTTTATTGTCACTGTCTAAATGCTATTCTAAATATTCTACTTAATTATTTTCCATTCTCTTTATATTCTCAATTCCCCATCTTCACCAAAATGAAAAATTATTCAAAAGCCAACACCTTTGTTCGTGAGAAATTCAATTATTTTCCCATTCTACTGCAAATTTCTCCAAGAGCCGATGCACAAAGCCCTGTTCCCCATAAAAATCCTGCGAATAAATTCCTATCGAAAAAAAACTTATCCCCCAACTCCCCAATTTCCAGAATTACTCGTAGAGTGCTTTAATCACCCCCTCAATCGAGAATATCAACTAAAAATTCATAATCCGTGTTGTCTTTTGCGTGACCTGCCTTCGCTGACCTTTCGCCAAAAATCGATCCCCCACTATTCTCCCTCATTCCGCGCCCCGAGTATCATCTCCCCAGGGCTGCACCCCCTCCCCAATTCCGGACCTAACGTCCTCCTCCCTACCACAAAAATCTATCAATAATTTTCTCCCTAATATTTCCCAAAAGCTTCCCAATGGAACCAATTCCACGGATGTCTTCCAGATGCAGAGGAGCAGCAGCCCCTGGACACCATCCCCTTCCCGTCCCCCCTGCC